TTTGACTCTTTAATTGTTTAGGGGGATATTATAAATTTCTACACGTTTAAATTAATTTCTAACTTAATTGTGGTGTACTATGTAATTTATAGATATCTGATACCAGCCCTTTACAATATTTTTAGGCATCCTTAAAGACTAGTATGTAATCAGTTTTCACAAATACATTATTTGTTCTTATGAAAAGTATACATTTGAGCTATTGGATGAAATATTTTTATATGTACATTTTATTATCTCTGCTAATTATATTTTTCAAATCTCCTATACCTTTATTATTCTGTCTCCCAGCCTATCAATCACTATGACAGGAAATAAAATCAACTCTGCCTTAGGCTTGCTAGTTTTTCCTGGTGGCCCTGTCCATTTTTGCTTTATATGTGCTATTTTTTATGATGTACTTGAATTTAGAATTGTTATATCTCTCTGCTTAACTATTTTATTGATTTGTAACAATCTTTGTCTATAGTAATGCCATTTGCCTGAAAAGTCTATTTTGCTAATACTAATGCAACAATGTCAGTTATTTTATGGATAATATTTGCATAGCATTTTTCTACCCTTTGATGGAAACTGTGTATCTTTGTATTTTATGTACTACATATAGACATATTTATATCTTGTCTGATATTAGTTGTATTTTATCTAAGAGTTTTCCGTATTTTCTTATTTATTTATTTATTTTAGCTTTTTTGAGACAGGCTCTTGCTATGTAGTTCAGTTTGGCCTTTAACTCACTGTGTAGCCCAAGCTGGCCTTGAACTTGCTGTGATCATCCTGCCTCAGCCTTTTGAGTGCTGGGGCTAATTTGAGTATTTTCATTTAATCTAATTCTGATATACTTACTTTTTCCTCTTTTTAAATTTTTTTTAATTTTTAAAATTTTATTTCTTCTTTAACGTTCTCATTTTGATGATGATTTTTCCCTCTTTATTTACATAGGAAGTATGATTTATTTTTACTTATTTGGTAGTTACTCTGTTTCAACATGAATGATTTACAAAGCTCAAAGTTAAACTTTTCCTTCCTGTCATATAATAAAGTTCAAGTGACTAAGAAAGCTTTAAGTCTGATTATTTCTTTCCCTAGTTAGTACTATCTCCCTTCAGGCAATTAGGCATCTAAACAACTCTCTTTTTTAATCTTTAAATTTATCCATAAATTTTCCAATGTCTTGTCATATCATTCCTTGTTGCATTTAAAATATTTAAGATCATTTTCCTTTACCTAAAGTAGTACATCCATTAAAATGTCCTTTAATCAAAGGTGTGTTATTGACCAACTGCCTTGTTTTGTCTGAAAATTTCATTTTACTTGGGTTCTTACAAAATATTTATTATTTATTTATTGTACCAGGGATCGAACTCACGACTGTGTGCTTGCCAGACAGGCACTTATGCTGCTGAAATAAACCCCCAGCCTTAATTTATTTATTTTTTATTTATTTGGTCTTTTTGAGACAGAGTCTCACTATGCAGTTCAGGCTGGCCTTGAACTCACTTTGTAATTTAGGTTGGCCTTGAATTTGCTATGTTCCTCCTGCCTCAGCCTCCTGAGTACTGGGATTACAGGCGTGCACCACCATGCCTGGCTATAAAGTATTTAAAGTGGGTATAGAATTCTGTGTTGAAAGTTACTTTCTTTAAGCACATGAGCTAATGTTACTCAACTTTCTGGTTTGCTAATGAGAATTCTGTTATTAGATGGGCTGAGGATATTGCTCAAGAACAGAGCACTTACTTGCCTGGCCTGTGGGAGGCACTGGTTTCCATCCCCGGGTCGGGGAGTAGGGTGGAGTTCTGGCACCTCTGTCCCTGATGGTCAGCTTTTCATAACTGAAACAGATACCTGAGACGACCAACTTTTGAAGAGAAGAGGGTTATTTTGGCTCACAGTTTGCAGGTTTCAGTCCATGACTGATTGGCCCTGCTGCTTTGGGCCTGTGGTGAAGAAACAAATCATAGTGGAACTGAACTGCTCACCTTGTGGTCAGGAAGCGAGAAAGAGACCGGGTTCCCACTGACTCCTTTATGACCTCACCCTGGAGACCTGAAGCCTCCCACCAGGCTGCCTGCTTCTGCCGAGAGCTGGGGACTCAGCCTTGACCCCTGAGTGTTTGTTAGGGATGTCTGAGATTCTGACTTTAGCAATGACCATTCATTTTCAGTCCCTCTTCTCCAGCTGTGCTTAAGGCTCTTATTTTAAGGCTCTTATCTTCAATGTTCTACTATTCAGATTTCCTCTAATGCATCTAAGTATGGATTATTTACTTACCCTGTTGGAACTCCTTAGGGCATCCCAGATCTCAGAAGTGGTGACTCTCAACATTTTACAAATTTCCCAGCTTTCATCTCTTCCACTGCTACCTCTTCCCCATTCTTACTAGTCTGTGTAATTCTTCCTAGACTCACTTCTTTTCTTTCTGCATGTCTCTTTGCTTCTTTTTAAAATATATTTCATCTTCCTGAGCTGTGTTCCTGATGAAGCCGCTCATGTAACTCAGCAGGATGGCCCTGGAGGAGTGGGCTTGGGAGAAAGGCAGGCTGAGAAGCTGGCATGGGCTGGTTTGACGAGAGGTTGAGAGTTGATGCCATGAAGTCTTCTACTATGGATTAGTCAGCCCGGTGTGCGCTTTTCTTTTCTTTTTTGTGAAAGGAAAGGAGAAATGAAAGTCAAGGGACAGTGGAGGAAAGATGCCAAGGAAAGCATGATGATGTAGAAAAGAAGGGAGAATGTAGGAGCAGAGTCCTACTAGGCCCAACCTTTTTGGTTGTGTGCTTCATTTATGTTCTTACGTTACCCTTGTATAAGATTGATAAAAGCAACTTTAAAGCATAAAATGAAATTACAGTCAGTTAATAGGGGCTTACCCATCCACTCAGCCAGAAATACTCCATCTGCCTCCTGTGCATGAGGCACTGCTGGGCTCTGAGAATTAACTGTAATAAGGTGCAGACGTGATCTCTGCACTGGTGAAGCTCAAAGTGCAGTGGTTTTCACAGCAAGTAGATGTGGCAGAGAACAAACTTCAAGGGAAAAGTACTCAACTGTGTGAAAGCACTGTGAGGGCCCTCGTGCCCTTAGTCTATTCTGAGAGATGAGGGAAGTACCAGTTAAACTGATTCCCAGAAAATAAGTAGGCAGATTCACAAGTGAAAGGCAGATTGAGATTTGGAGGAATGGAGGTGCTAGCGTAGTGCAGAATAGAGTTTCGGAGTAAGTATCTATTGTAAGAGCAGTAGGAAGCCCCAAAAGGCCGTAAGCAGAACCCATACAGGCGCCATTTCTGTAATACTTCTTTTGGGAAAGTGTGCTCACGAGGCTACGAGAGCTTGGTGCTGTTACCCCTAAGAATCATTCCAGCTCTCCTCTTGACGGTAACATTTTTACATACCCATCTAATATAGATCCCTCAGTCAGACAGAGTGGAGATTTCCTGAATATCAATGAATTGGTTCTGTGTGTGTAAGAGAGGAAAGGACAGGAGTGCAGGAAAGAAGAATGGGGGAGAGAGGAAAGGAGTCAAGATACTATTTTTTAAATTTAGCAAAATTTTAAATATGCAGCAGTGAAAAACAGCTAAATCTACTAGGGATGCTTTTTATGTGTCATAGAGTTTAGAATTCTTAGCTGGGCATGGTGGCACACACCTGGAATCCCAGCACTTGGGAAACTCAGACAGGAGGGGTGTCATGAGTTTTGAGACCAGCCTGGGCTACAAAGTGAGCTCAAGGCCAACCTGAATTGTGTAGCAAGACTCTGTCTCAAAAAGAAAAAAAAAAAGTGTTCTTTTTTTATTTGTACCAGGGATCGAACTCATAACCGCACGCTTGCAAGGCAGGTGCTTATGTTGCTGAGCTAAATCCCCCACCCTTAAAAAAAAAAGTATTCTTAAGCTGATATTTTGCTTTTTAAAATTGTTTTTAGTACCTTAAAAATACTATTTTAAAACTGCCTATCTTAAACTATCCTGTAGATTATAACAAATCACATCATTATATAAGGGTTTGTTTTAACCCTCAAAGGCTTTTGTTGGGGAGGTGTAGGTATGGTGCTGGGGATCAAGCCCAGGGCCTTATGCATGCTGGGCAAATATTCTACTGCTAAGCTATTTCCCTTTCCCTTTTCACTGTTTTTTTTTTCTTATAAATTTAAATAAAATTATTATACTATTCTTATGTCTCTTCATAAATGTCAGAGTATACTGTTGTTTTGACATCTGTAGAGATTTTCAAATTCTGAATTATTACTTTGACTAATCTTTAGCTTCTAGACCTGAATACCTACTACTATGCCTCACATATAGTAGGCGCTCAAAAAATGTGTTCCAGCTGGGCATGGTAGTACATGCCTGTAATTCAGCGCTCAAGAGGCTGAGGCAGGAGTATTGCCGTGTTTGAGGCCATCCTGGGCCATCTAGTGAGTTCAAGTTTAGCCTGAACTACATAGCAAGACCGTCTCAAAAAAAAAAAAAAAAAAGTTCAGTGAACAAAGGTACTGGTCCAGTACTCTTAATTATATTTTCAAAAAATTTCCTTCCTCAGTTCCTTTACCCAAAATGCCCTTTTTTGATGTTCCTTTTCTCTGGCTTTGTTTTCATTTTTTGATTCAGGGTCTGTCTATGTTCAGGCTGGCTTTGAACTCGATGAGCCCAGAGAGGCTTCAAACTATTGGCAATCCTCTGTGCTCATCTCCTTCCTGGCTTTATAACTGTTAATATTCTTCTATAAATCTTATTTTGCTGTTTTTCCCTTACTTAGAATCCCTTTTGAATAACTACTCTGTCCTTTCATGAGATTTGTATACTTGCCATTTTATATCCTAAACCTTTATTGTTTCATTTTCTCTTAGATCTCTTTTGATCTATCTTATTTTTTACTGAAAATAATTTTGGAGCCTGATTTCCATTGTAGTATTTTAATTTCAGTTTTTATAATCCCGAGGAACTAATTTTCACTCTATAACTAATGAAGGTAATTTTATGTTTTCTGTATTTATAGTCCATTGAAGACAATGAAGTATATTTGCCTAATGATGAAATTTGGACCTATGATATTGACAGTGGGTTGTGGTGAGTAATTTCAAATTGCAGAATGTCCGATCTTAATGTCTTACAATGTTTTCGTAGGCTGAGGGAGTTTGAGACCATGCTGAGAAAGTACTGCAGCAGTTATGTTGTCCCCCTCTCCTTTTCTTTCTATGTCTTTTTTTGTGTCTCTTTTCCTTCCTTCTCCATTCTGTTTTTTCATTTCTCCAGTGGTTTTTTTTTGTTTGTTTGTTTTGGTTTTTTTTTGTCTTTTTGGGATAGAGTCTCACTGTGCAGTTCAGGCTGGCCTTGGGCTCACTTTGTAGCCCAGGCTGATCTCGAATTTGCAGTGATCCTCCTGCCTCAGCCTCCTAAGTGTTGGGATTTCAGAAGTGCATCACCACGCCCAGCTATCTCTAATCTTTTTGAGAGAGGGTCTCCCTGTATCCCAGGCTGGCCTTGAACTCATGACAAGCCTCCTGCCTCAGCCTTCCTAGCTCCTTCTCTGTTCTTTGTCCTTTACTCACCCTGTCAGGACCAGTGCTTTGAAGACTTTTATTCCAGTGATTCCAAGTTCTGACATCATGTGTGAACATTTCGTGATTGTTTTCTGTAGCAAGTTGAAGTCCTTCCTCAGGGTCATCTTAGAGTGTGGATGGTGTCGGCCACCACTGAACTCTAGCTGTAGCTGGAGATTGAAGGGGTGTGTGTGGTTCTCGCTGCAGGAGGATGCACCTGATGGAAGGAGAGCTCCCCACCTCCATGTCAGGCAGCTGCGGCGCTTGCGTCCACGGGAAGCTGTACGTGTTCGGAGGCTATGATGACAAAGGATACAGCAACCGAGTAATGCTTGCTTTTCATCATGGAGCACAGCAAGATGCGATACGAACGTATCGTTTCCACTCCCAGGTTTACGGATAGGTTCCAAAGAAGATAAGTGTAGGAAATGTCGTTTGTAATTAGAGGGTTTTACAGACAGATGGGAATGCAGCACTCCTGCTCGCCTTACATGTCTTCTGCTTCAGAAGTAGCTGCATAGTTGGTATCCCTGATGGAAAAATGCACCTCAATACGTCTTCAGTAGCATTGTTGCTTCTCAAACATTCTTCTTTTCATTCATTACATAAGTTTAAATTTCTAACAGGTGGAAATTTTATGTATTAAAAATTAAAAAGTGATCATTAATTTTTGGATTACAAATCTGCCTAATGTAAATTTAATCTTCGAGTGTGCTGTCTGCTAATAGTATTTTCATCTTTTAAAAGCTTTATTTCGTTAATTTACGAACAAGAGATGGAACCTATGTTTGGGAAAAAATCACCAACTTTGAAGGACAGCCACCTACCCCTCGTGATAAGCTTTCCTGCTGGGTGTATAAAGACAGGTAATGAGCTACACACTACAACTGCTTTTATTAAGTAAGGTGTAGTTTTTCCCCAAACAGAAGAAACATAAAAGTGTGACTTCACCTAAGTTATCATTAATAGTTTTGAGGGGTGTACTTGGGACTGAACCCAGGGCTTTTGCACACAGCAATGTCCCTAGCCTTTTTTTTTTTTCCCTTGGTACAGGGATTGAATTTACAATCTCACGCTTGCCAGGCAGTACTTAGGTCTCTGAGCTAAATCCCTATTCTGTGTAGCCTTTCAATTTTAAGTCAGCGTCTCACTAATCACTACATTGTTCACATTAGACTCAAATATGTAATTATCCTGCGCCTGCCAACCAGAGTGCTGGGATTATAGGACTGTCACAGGGCCCAACTCCAGATTAGTTTGATATTAGTGGTAACAGCACTTTCAAACCCTAGGTGAGAATTTCTCCAAGTCATAAAAGTGAACATGGTAGAAGCAATTATTTGATTTTTTTACATATACTATTTTACTTAATTTTTGACTAGTTAATCAATTCATGTGATTGTACAACTGTTTTTCTTTTTTGAGATAGAATCTTGCTATGTAGTTCAGGCTGGCCTTGAACTCATTGTGTAGCCTAGACTGGGCTCAAACAGCAGTCTTCCTGCCTCAGCCTCCCAATTGCTGGGATTACAGGTGTGCACAACCACATCTGGCTATGATTCTACAGTTGAAGTCATATTAGACTATACAATGAGGCCAGGTGTGATGGCACAAGCCTGTAATCCCAGCACTCAGGAGGCTGAGGCAGGAGGATCACTGTGAGTTTGAGGCCAGCCTGGGCTACAAAGTGACTTAAAGGCCAGCCTAAACTGCATGATGAAACCCTGTCTCTAAAAGACAAAAACAAAAAAAATACAGTGAAAGTCTGTTACCTATTTCTTTTTGCATCCAGTCTTCTATAAGCACCAAAAGACTTTTTATTGTTATTTTTGTATTATTGTAATGGTTCCCAAACTTGTCTGCCATTGGAATCATCTGGAGACCTTTTTCTCTCTGTTTGGCTGAGTTCATTTAAAAATTCCAAAGCCAAGGTGGTAGCCCAGATTAATTAAAACGCCTGTGAATAGGAGTTTTTCAAGATCCTCAAGGGATTCCAGCATGCAGACAAGTTTGGGAGCCTCTTAGTGTTGCTTTTCACAGAGAGAAGCAACTACATTTGTATATATGCATTTCTGTCCTTTCCCTCTCTCCTCAAACAGTTATCAGTGAACTCTGTGCTCTGTTCTGCAAGCCTTGCTTATTTTAGTTAGCAAACTTGTTATTGGTTTTTAAATAACTGCATGGTATTCCCCAGCGTGGATTCCTGGGCTTATCCAGGCAGATTTCCAGAGTGGAGTTTTAAATACCAGCTCTCCAGCAGGGCAGGCAAGAGTTCTGGAAGGTCGTGCCTGCAGTCTCCAAAGGTATCTGCACAGTCCAGGCAGGATGTGGGCGTGGCATTGCAGCTAAGAGGGTTGTATCTCCCTGTGCCTGAGGGGAGTGGTCCCCAGGAGGCGGGTTTGGGTGGGGAGTATCTGTACTGACCACGCTGGGGAACTGGAGGGGAGGCAAAACTGGGATCAGTGCCAAGAGTGTTCACCCTGCTTCTCATGTGGGAAAGCCCGGCTTCTATTCACCGTGGATGTTGAGAGTTCACCATGGAGAGTTGAATACAGAAAAGTAATTGTCATTATGCTGCTTCGTTAGGCTTTTTTTGGTTTGTTTAATTTTGTTTTGTGCTTTGTTTTTCCTGTCACCTCAACTTGGAAGAAACATTGTAGAGTTTGGCAGGTAGAGGCAGTATTGATCTGTTTATCTGGGTTTTGCCTACACCTACAAAAAAGACGTGTCTCTGTGGACATTTATGGGCTCACATCCTGGTGTGTTTTTTTTTTGTTGTTGTTGTTTTTTCTTTTCTACCTTGCATTTCCTAGACAGGCACTTATGCCACTGAGCTATATCTTCAGCCCTCCCATTGATTTCTGTGAGCCCCTAGTGTTTCTGCTTTTGTTTTTCCAGGACTTACTTTACCTTTCAAAATACTTTTACCCTTCAGAATTTGCCTGTTGTTTAAAAGTGTGAAAAAGTGTATGAAACAAGCAGGCCATTGGTGGCATCCTCCTATAATCCTAGCATTTGAGAGGCTGAGGCAGGAGGATTGCAGTGAGTTTAAAGTGAGCCTGGGCTACATAGTGAGTTCAGGCCCATCCTGAACTGCACAGCAAGACCCTGTCTCAAACAAACAAAAGCAAAATATATGAAACAGTTTCCCATTTTAACCATACTTAAATGTACACTTTATGTATTTTTTTTTTTTTTTTGTCTTTTTCCTTTTTATCGGTACTGGGGATCGAACTCACCACTGCCTGCTTGCAAGGCAGGCGCTTATGCCGCTGAGCTAAATATCCCCAGCCCCAATGTACACTTTAATTATTAATTATGCACAATGCGGGGCTGGGATCCCCGGTACCGATAAAAAGGAAAAAGACAAAAAAAATTATAATTATTCACAATGTATTGTAATCATCATTATTACAGAGTTCTAAAACTTATTCATTACTCCAAACTCAAACTCTATGATATCTAGTAAGCAGTATCTCCCCATTTTCCCTTCATCTAATCCCCGGTGGCCTCTAATCTCCTTTCTATGAATTTGCTCCCTAGAGACATTTCATATAGTATAATGTTTATTCCTTTGTATCTGGCTTATTTCTCTGACCATAATGCTTTAAAGCTCATGCTGTCAAGTTTTAGTCTTTCCTTCTCGTGGCTGAATAACATTCCATTACACACACATGCAGATACACACATTTTTTTTCCACTTATCAACTGATGAATATGGTTATTCTCACCTTTGGCTGGTGGGAATAATGCTTCAGTGAACAGTGGCGTACAAGTACTGTTTTAGTCCCTGTTTTCATTGGTTTTGGTTACATCCCACAGTAGAATTCTGGTGATTTGTAGAATTTGGTGATTATGTATGTGAGGTTGTGCTGCTGCTGTTTGGCAGTGGTGGGAATTGAACCCATCCTAGACAAGCTCTCAGCACTGATCCACCTCCTCTGTTATATCTGTAATTAATTTAGAGTCTTAGCAAGTTGCTCAGGATCACCTTATACCTGTAATCTTCCTGCCTCATCCAGCCAGATAGCTGGGATCACAGGCATCTACCACTGTGCCGACTCTACATTTAAGTTTTTGAGGAACTACCCAACTTTTCCATGGTGACTGTACCATTTTACCTTACCAATGGCAATGTGCAGGCATTCCATTCTCTTCACATCCTGACTGGTGTTGGTTATTTTCTAGTTTGTTTTTGTTTTTAATAATAGCCATTCAAGTGGGTGTGACCTCTTACATGGTTTTGATGTATATTTCCTTAATGAACAGTGATGTGGAACCATCTTTCCATGTGATGTGCCTACTGGCCACTTAAAAAAAATCTTTGGGGAAATCTCTATTCAATCCCTTTGTCTATTTAAAAAAAATTGTGTTGTCCTTTATTGTTGACTTGCAAGCCTTTTTTATATATACTAGATATTCATCCTTTATCAGATACATGTAGTTTTCTTTCAGTGTGTTTTTCTGGTCGCAGAATTGGGGCAAGGCTGGATTTATAAAATGAAGCAGGAAGTATTGCCTGATCTTCAGTTGTTTAAAATGGTTTGAAAAGGATTAGTGTTAATCATTCTTTTTATGTTCTGGAGGTGGTTGCCAGGTGTGACGGCACATGCCTGTAATCCCAGTACTGGAGAAGACCAAGGCAGGAGGATCCCTGAGTGTTCCAGGCCAGCCCAAGCTACAGAGTCAGTTCAAGGCCAGTCTGGAGTGCAGAGTGAGACCCTGTCTCAAAACCCAAAAGACGGGGCTGGGGGTTTAGCTCAGCGGCATAAGCGCCTGCCTTGCAAGCAGGCAGTCGTGAGTTCGATCCCCGGTACCGATAAAAAGGAAAAAGACAAAAAAAAAAAAAAAAAAAAAAAAAAACCCAAAAGACATAAATGGATGAATAAATATTTGGTAGAATATTCCCAGTGAACCACCTAGTCCTGGGATTTTATTTTTGAGGAAGATTTTGATAATTGATTGAATCTCTTAACATGTTATGTTTATTTGATTCTTTTACTTCTTTAGGCGTTTTTTTTAGAAACATCTCATTATGTAGCCCAGCTGTTCTCCAGGGTTTTTTTGTTTGTTTGTTTTTTGTCTTTTTTTGAGACAGGGTCTCACAATGCAGTTCAGGCTGGCCTTGAGCTCACTCTGTAGCCCAGGCTGGTCTCACACTCCCAATGATCATCCCACCTCAGCCTCCCGAGTGCTGGGATTACAGGCATGAGCCACCATTCCCAATTCTGTTCTCCAATTTTGATTCTCTTGTCTCAGTCTCCTGAATGCTGGGATTACAGATGTGTATCATCACCACTACTGTATATGAGTCTTTCTAGGAATTGTCTGGTTTTTGTTTTTTTTTTTCTTTTTGATGTAAGATGTCACTATATAGTTCAGGCTAGCCATGAACTCACTATGTAGCCCAGGCTATCCCCTAAATCCTAGCAGACCTCCTGCCTCAGCCTCCCAAGTACTGGGATTACAGGTGTGTGCCAACATGCCAACTTTCATAGGAATTTTTAAAACTCTTATCTAGATTGTCCAATTGTTGACATGCTGTTTTTCATAGTATCAGTTCTTATTTTTTTTCTGTAATGTCGGTAGTAATAGTAACTCTTTTTTTCTTTTTTTGGTGATGCTGAGGATGGAACCAGCCCTGCGTTTTCCCTAGTCTGAGTATTTATCAGTTTTGCTGATCTTTTCAAAGAATCAAGCTTTTATTTTTGCTGTTTTTCTGTTTACTATTTGCTTATCTCCCTTCCCATCTTTGTCACCTCCTTCCCTCTGCTCTCTGTGGGTTTAATTTGCTCTTTTCTTTCTAGCTCCTCTGTAATGAGTGCTGTTATGTTATTGACCTTTTTTAAATGTAGGTATTTATGGCTGTACATTCCTCTCTGAGGCTTGCCTTTGCTGTGACCCGTTAGTTTTGTCATATGTGTCATTTCATTCGTTTCAAGGTAATTTCTAATTTCTCTTGTGATTCCTTCTTTGACTCACTAGGTTCTTCTTTGACTAGTGAGGATCTTTATTTGTTTTTTTATTCCTGGCAAGGTACCCACACAGGTCACTATGCAAATGAAGATATAAGTGTGCTTATTCCTAATTGGTTGATTTTCAGCTTGACTGTGGGTTATAGTTATTGATCAGGTCCAGGTGCCAAAATGGGGCTTTTCAAAGGCTGTTTATTTTGGCAGTTGAACAGGAACATGACTGAGCAAGGCCTGCAAAGTTCAGTTTGTGGTTCCTTGGGGAGCCTAGCATGTGTGACTCCTGAGTCAGCAAATGGCTGCCAGACACTGTTTTCCTTGAGGTACCTGGAGCCTGTTTTGGAGATTCAGCTTTTCTTTCTTACATTTTTTTGGTACCGAGTATTGAACTCATGACCTTGTGCTTGCCAGGCAGGTACTTATGCCACTGAGCTAAATCCCCAGCCCAATTCAGCTTTTCTTAAAATCCAGTTATTTCAAAAGGCCTTCTCTGATAATTCGGTGTCTGGGTCACCTCTGAGTTACTCTCTTCTCTTGACTATGAGTCACCTTTTTTTTTCTTTTTGGATTTTTTCTTGTATCCTGTAATTTTTCATTAAATGTCAGGCATTCTGTACGAAAGGACAGTAAAGACTGGAATTAATTATACTTATCTCTGGAAAAGGACATGCCAATCTCTTTTTTTTCTTTCAGGCTTCTAGAAAGGGAGATGAGTCAGGTCAGTCTGTAGTTGATCTGTGAATGGGCTTGGTGGTAGCTTTAGTTTGATTCAGTTTCAACGTGGGCTTCAAATATTTTGAGGCAGAACTCTCACTAGGGCGCTGTGTGTAAGCTCTGAAGATTTTCAGCTGTGTTTTGAAGCTGAGTTTCCACTGCTCAAAACCGTGAGAGATCTGCTCTAGAGCCATTTGGGAGGACTTTGGGCCAATAGAAGTTCTGCGTGCTCTCCAGTGCCTGTGCTGTCTGTACTTTGGGAAATCTCTTTCATTCCTGCATCTCTTCCCCTGGTCTTCCTATACAGGCACTTGCCATGCCTCTCGGGCGTTTCTTCAGCTCTCCTGTCTGATCCCAAATTTTAGTACTTTATTCTTTTTTTGGTGTGCTGGGGCCTGGGGATCATATCCAGGGCGCCACATGCTAAGCAAGTGCTCTACCACTGCTACACACTCAACCCCAGCTTCCAGATTTTGATGACTGATCCTAAATCCATCTTAAAGACTATGCAGAAGAGTCAAGAGTGGGTTCAAACTCCTGCCGTTGCCACGTTTCCTAAGTACTAACTTGCTATGCCATCCTGTATGCATCTGTAAAAACTTTGGATGGTTTCTCTTTGCAAAGTCTGTATGTAGTGCTTTTGCCTTCCGCCCAGTGTTACAGCAGGGGTGAAAGCAGCCCTGTGTCTCTTCTCTTCTGTAGAGATCCTCCTCACTTTCCCAATTGCTGCATTAGATATTTGTGACTTCTCTTTGATTTTTATTTGAAACAGTGATCTTGTAGTTTACTTTCTTGTTTAGATTATTTGTGTTTGTTTTCCAGATTAATATATTTTGGTGGTTATGGGTGTAGGAGACACAATGAACTTCAAGACTGTTTTGATGTTCATGATGCATCTTGGGTAAGAAAGTAATCATTTTGTATTTTATTTTAACAAGTTTTAGAAATAATTAACCTAGGGGCTGGGGATTTAGCTCAGCAGTATAAACGCCTGGCTTGGAAGCAGGCAGTCGTGAGTTCGATCCCCAGTACTGATAAAAAGACCAAAAAAAAAAAAAAAAAAAAAAGAAATAATTAACCTAATCTTTCCTTTTTTCTTTTCTTTTCTTTCTTTCTTTTTTTTTTTTTTTTTTTTGGTATGGAGACTTGAAATCAGAACCTTGTGCTTTCCAGGCTTGCCCTGTGCTGCTGAACTGTATCCCCAGCCTTAATCTTTCTAATTTTAAGAGCTCCTAATTTGCTATAGTTGACACTGTGGAAGAAAATGTATTTTCCCTCATTTAGATTTGGATCTAGCTAGAAGAGGGCCTCTCATTTAATAAATTATACCCTCTTCTGTTAGCCAGATCAAGGTGTTACCACAAATTGGGAGAAATTCACTTTTATGTAAGCACAGTAACTATCAGAATTATTCAGGGGCTGGTGATTTAGCTCAGCGGCATAAGCACCTGCTTTGCAAGCAGGTAGTCATGAGTTCGATCCCCGGTACCCATAAAAAAAGACAAAAGAGAAAAAAATAATTATTCATAGCTCAGACTGGATTCTACAAAAGAATAAATTAGGTTGTAATGCTATTACTTTTCCTGCTTATTCTTACTAGTTAGAGAATAGGTCATTATTTTTAGTTTTAAAAAAGTGAAATCTCTTAAATGATGACTTTAAAAACATTGATATCAGTCTAGACTGATATTTAGGCTCCAGAATGACCAAACAAAGAACAGATAGATAAATGAATGCACATCACCTGGACAGATAGATTAGAATGCTCCATCAGGCCTACAGGAAAAGACAGACAAGCACATCCTGATACGTGAAGACAGAGCCAGTGGCAGATCCATTATTTATGCAACTGTGGATCCATATGGATAATGGCAGGAAACAAAACTGAACAGTTGTCTACGATGAGGTACCAGAAGAGATCCCATTCTCCTTTCTACCTCTGCCTCCCAAGTGCCGGAGTTATAGGAGTGCATCACCATGCCTGGTCAGCCTTGGCACTCTTATATTGGGGCAGGGTCATCTTTTCTTACGAGGGACTGTCTAGTAGGCTGTGTAGCGCTCCCTTGGCCTCTCCTCTAGTTGTAATGACCAAAATATCTCCAGATATTTTCAAATACCATTTAAATGACATTTTAAATACCATTCTCCATCTTCTCTACGCTACCTAGAGGAAGGCTTTTCTCATTTACCTCACAGTTTTGTAGTGTCTTTTTATGCTATGTAACCCTTATCATTCCATCCTATGATTAATTCTGTCTCTCCTTCCTTCACAGCAGATCTTACTTTCCCCAAAGAGAGGTTATCCATCAAACACTGTTACATCCCCAGTGCCCCACAGTGTGTGGCACAGAACAAGGGGTTGAAAAACCCTGTGGAGGTTACCAGAGATTTGTAGATCCCAGCAACTTCCACAGATAAATAGGCATGACCTCAGCCTCAGGTCGTAACTCTTGGTTTGCTCCCAAATGGAGTAGGAAAACCAGATAGTGGTTTTTTTTTTTTAAATTGGAGGGGAGGAAATGTAGATTTTATTCTTTTTGCTAACAAAAATGTTTTTTTAAAAAATTTGTACTTGTGCTGGGGATTACTTTCAACAGATTTCTAGGTTAAGATCTTAAACTGCCAGGGGTTTAGCTCAGCAGCACAAGCACCTGCCTGGCAAATGTGATGTCATGAGTTCAATCCCTGGTACCAAAAAATAAAAAAAGATCTTCTTAAACTATATATATATAAAAGATCTCATTCCTAAGAAGCATAGTAACTCGTTTTAGTTCTACCTTCTACCAGCACATGCTACTGTTGCACATTATTTATTTATTTATTTATTAATCTATTGGTACTAGGGTTTGACCTTATCAGCGCAAACTGCATGGCAGAGTAGGAGTGGTGGGAACTTGCTGGGAACGGAACCATGCCTTCTGATGTTTATGACAGCACACATTAGGTTCTGAGCACGTATGTAAGAAAGCAGTGTTGAATGTAAATAATCATTCTGTCCTGTGCAAATGTAGAGACAAACGTGAAATCGTGGTTTACCAAAGCAGTGCTGAGGAAAGAAGGGTTACCAGGAGCAGCTCCCACTGGCCGGATGTGTACTCTGCCAGGGGTAGGGCGTGCCTGAGCCTTGTGGCTGTGCTAACAGCAGGCTTGGTTTTTTAAGGGTGTCTGTTATTTGCCTATAAACATGTGGCAAAAATGTAACAGTCATGTGAAAAGGAAAGCTTTGAGGGTTTTTTTTTTTTTTTTTTTGTCTTTTTTGTCTTTTTTCCTTTTTATCAGTACTGAGGATCGAACTCACGACTGCCTGTTTGCAAGGCAGGTGCTTATGCCACTGAGCTAAATCTCCAGCCCCTGCTTTGAGGTATTTTAAAATTTTCTGTTTTAGGAAGAGCAGATATTCTGGGGATGGCATAATGACATCCATGTATTTGACACAAAGACACAGACTTGGTTTCAACCAGAAATTAAGGTAAGTGTTGTAAAAGTTGCCTTTATATTCAAATATTCATTGATACTTAAAAGAAGAATCCAGTTTCTTTCTAAGATACTTAGATTTTAATACATGCTTTTGTAATCATGTGCCAAATATTTCTCTTGAGTATTGCTATCAATACCATTTTTTTAAAAAAATCCTGCTTTTCTCCATGTCAGATAAGATTCTCTAGAAACAATCTTTTTAAAAGGTACCATCTTCATTCTTTGCGCCAAATATCATACCCTAATTTAATGTGAGGTCTTTATTTATTTATTTAAATTTTTTATCGGTACCAGGGATCGAACTCACAACTGCCTGAATGTGTTAAAAAGTTCTTTTATAAAACCAGGCATTTGCTCAGCCCTGTAACCCCAGCAAGCTGAGGCAGAAAGATTACAACTTGAGGTCAGCCTGGCCTTCCCATCAGTTCAGGACCAGCCTGGACCCCTAGTGACACTCTTTCTCACCACCCCCAAAGTCTTTTAAAACAAAGTTCATAATTTTAAACACTTACAGGTTTTGTTTTTTTGTGGCACTGGGGATTGAATCCAGAGTTTCACACTGAGCTATACTCCCAGCTCATTTTTATTTTTGATTTTGAGTTGCTTGCCCAAGCTGGGCTCAAGCTTGCAGTCCTCCCAGAGTGCTGAGATCGCAGGCATGTATGCCTATGTTTTACTAAAAAATCAGAGCTTTTTGCAATTATAGCATGACATTGTCATGCTATAATACATTGTCAATATTCATTCATTTACTAATGACCAAACACAAATTGAAATTAGTTTGAGCCACTTAGCATGGTGCACACAGTATAAGAGCCAGATAGAGAAATGCCTCAGGACCTGGAGCCTGTTTCTTAGTACCATTGCACTACTTTTGTCTCGCCCCATCTGTTCATCCTCCTCTTTGTTCTCCTGCTTCACTCCATCCACTGCAAACCACGTGGGCTATTTAGGAAGGAACAGAACCTCAGCTACACAAGTGGTTCTTTGTGTTATGCTCTCCAGTATTCATATTAGTCCTAGAAGGGGACTCCGACTCTACTTGGGTGTGTTTCTCCTGTCACAGCACCTCTGTTGCCAAGGGGATGCCTGGCCAGTCGTGAGTCACATGCCCATCCTGGGGTGTGTGAGAGGGGGCAGGGTATTATGAGTGTTAAAGCTCACCAGAACTAACAGGAAGGAAGTCAAGCAGGCAAAGCTAACATTGTCCAGTAACGTAAATACATGACTGAAACTCCTTACAGTGCAGTGCTGCTGATGGAAATGCTGGGAAGTTCTGTTTCAGAGTTTGATCCTCTTGAGGGGCACTATTTGCAGGCAGTGAACTTCCGGTTTCCAGTGCTCTTCTATTCTCTTCTTTTCAAATTTTAGTACCAATCAATTGTCACTTATACTTGTTGATTGAATTCTCCTTAAATCAGCGTTCGAATTTTAAGAGTTGGTATCATTTATTAGTGGAATAAAGATAATTTATGTCAGCAGGTAGTAGAGAGAAATACTCCTGAGGCTTAGTCTCCTGAAACCACACCTAATCGCTTTCCTGCATTGTAACCCTTCACTTCCCGAGAACTAAGGGCCTAGAAATACCAGGATGGGGTAGTAATACAGGTTTTGACTTGGCAGAAAGGCCAGGGCACAAAAGTCTTACATGATTTTCTCTCACTTATTTAAATGTAATCAGTAAGATCTGAATTATTTCTTACCACATTGACTTGTAGTAAGCCTTGAAAGTTTAGGGAGTTATGATATTGGGTATGGAATGTGAGTTTCCTGTGTCCGTGTTCAGTAGCCAGCGAGCTGAATATACTGGGTTCTTTCAGAACTTGGATGAGGTACATACACAGGGGAACCCGTCCTAGACATTTGGGAATAATGGAGATGATTTTCTCTTCAGTTCTCTGAGAGAACCCAGGGCCTCTCTCTGTATTGCTGAGCACTTTCTCACATGTGCTCTCACCCTGCAGCCGCTTTTCCCTCACCTCTTACTCATTCACCAACTAAAAGCTTCTCTAAAGAAAAGATGAACTTTTATTTATCCAAAGTAAAGTATAGAGAAGCATTATTTAATGAGAGGTAAAGCATAGTTTGGCTTAAGCCAGCAATGCAGTTTCTCTGAATTTGAGGGGTTTGGGGGGCATATTTAAATTTTTGGAGACTGAGATCATCTCATTTTACACTGCTGATTCCTCAGATTAATTCTGTGTGTGATGGTGGTGTATTTTTAAATTTGACTTTTAAATCACTTATATTCCAAGCTAAAATTTACATGGAATTTTATCTTGTTAAATAATATCAGGCATTTAAGAAAATATCTTAGAAGACAGTGTGGTGGCACAGCACACTGTAATCCCAGGTGCTCAGGAGTCGAGGCAGGAGGACTGTAGGTTTGAGGCAGCACAGTCAACTTGGTGAGAGAAATTTAAAGAGGAGTGGGGATGTAGCACAGTGGTAGAGCGATTGCTGAGCATGTACAGTTCTCTGAGTTCACCCCCAGCAGCAAAGGGAGAGAGAAATGCTTTAAACAGTAAAGAAAGAATAATTTTGGTTCTTGAAGAGTAGTACTCTCCTGTAATTTATTTTTAGCATGAACTTTTGCATTAGGCGCCTCAATGTAATTACATCAGCAGCTGAGTGCTGACGTCTTACTGATGTTTCAAGCTTGGCACTGTGTTTTGATCTCTGCTTGCAGGGTGGAACTCCACCCCAGCCACGCGCCGCGCATTCGTGTGCAGTTATTGGAAATAAGGGTTACGTCTTTGGTGGACGTGTTCTGGTGAGTATTGTTAATGGAAATGGTGTTATATCTGATGCTTGTTACAAAAATGTATCCTCTGATTTTTGTGAAACAACTGAACATTCAAAAACTCTGGATATAGCACTTGGGAGGCTGAGGCAGGAGGATCATTGCAAGTTTGAGGCCAGCTGGGACTACACAGTGAATTCAAGACCAGCCTAACTACATAGCAAGACCCTGTCTCAAAAACCAAACCAAAACAAAAAACATAAGCCCTCTAGATATTAAAATACCATTTCATACTAACTTTTATTTCTCTTCTGTTTCCAAAACAAACAATACACAAGCAGATGATTATAAATCATATTTTAATGAAAGAATCCTTCACTTTAATGCACATCAGAAAAGCTTAATTTCTTATCATCTGAACCCTGATAGTTTAAACCCATTTCTTCCTTTTTCCTTTGACACATTCATTGGGGAGCTCTATGTTCATTTTATTGATGCTTACAACTGCTTCCCAGTATTTAACTTCTAACAGTAAGGGGAAGAGAGACCCCCTATTTTTAATCTGAAGTTATCTTAAATTAACACTGTAGTGTAGAAAAGGTATTAACCATAGTCTAATGTGATGCACTTTCATTTTAGCAAACACGGATGAGTGACTTGCACTATCTAAACTTAGACACCTGGACCTGGTCTGGAAGGTATGTTTGAAATCTAGGTTCATTTCAATCTACAGGACTGTGTGTGGTTACAATCCAAATCTGGGTTCCTAAAAAAATTGAATTTTTTTTTTTATTCTTCAGATTATACGTCAAAGCAAAGAATATACCAATTTAGTTTGTTCTTTGAACTGTATAAAACATTATTGTAATCAGAGGTTGTAAGGAGAACAATTAGAATCAGGACACAGAATGTATTCTGTTATTTTATGATGGTCACCCAGAGTTAACACAAGAAAGTGCAGGAAATCTGTCTACAACACCAAAGACCCAGAATATTCAGCCAAGGGCTTGAGTCCCACAGCAATGTCCTGCATGAGTCCAGATGAAGACCTAGAGCTCATGACAATGCCTCCCATGAGTCCACTGAGAGCCCACGAGGACTCACACCAGTCTCTTTTATGGATCTGTGCTGGGAAGGCCCCAAGGTCAGCTGTGGACACTAGAAAGTCTGTGCCAGCAGGGTGAAGGAGCTGTGCTGGTAGGTTGAGGGTTCTACACTGGAGCTGAGAAGTCACGCTCAAAACAAAGACCAGGGCTGCCCTGAAAAGCACCCAGCCATCCTCAGCGACATGGAGGTCCCGAGCTCCTCCAATGATAAGCACAGTCAAATACATGCCAGAAAGCCAGCATAATGAGTTTGTCCTAGAGATTAAATGCACACATCTTCCCCTCCTGAGCCAGAAAGTGATGCTCGATGTAAGGACCAGAGCTTCCCCAAAGTGAACCACAGCCACTCTCACCAACACGGTCACAAGCTCCTCTGATGACAATGGTCGAACTCACACTGGGGAAACTAATCTTGAGGAGCGCCTCCAGGAGAACCAATGGCTCAGAACAGCAACACTAAGGGAAACCACAATGGCCCACTTGTCTTCTCCATGTCTGTATTTATACTGGCAACTTTCCTCAGGTGGAACATCTACACTCAGCACTATGCTGATTTAATTTAGCTGGCATTAAGTTGACCACAGTTTTTAATCCATAACAAACATGAAGCTACTAAGAGTTGTAAACTGATTGTAAGAAAGCACTAGTTTTATAGTGAGAAGAAATGAAGGAGTGGTTGAGTGAGGTCATCTCACATGAGTAGATAATAAAGAGGAAAAGTCAGATTTTATTTATGGTTCACACTATATATTAACAATAGAATAAACAGATTTAACTATCAACTTGACCATTTGTGCAGGGAAATGGAGTCAGAGCTATGTATTATTCTAATGTATAAATAACATCACAAAAAGTATCAACAAAGCATAGCACATTGTGTTTAAAGTGAGCTGGGCTTGTTGACAGAAGCCTATAATCTTGGCTATTTGGGGGGCTGAGGTAAGACGATCACATGTCTGGGGCCTAGTTGAACCTAGTGAAACCTTGTCACTAACATATAAACTAAAGTAAAGAGCTTCTGAGCATGGTGGTCCATGCCTGTAATCCCAGTACTTGAGAGGCTGAGGGCAGGAGGATCGCTGCAAGTTTGAGGCCAGCCTGGGATGCATTGTGAGTTCAAGGCCAGGCTGAACTACATGATGGCACCCTGTCTCAAAAAAACCTCCAAAAAACCAGAAAATAAATAAGGCTGAGGATGTAGCTCAGTGATAGAATGCCCCTGGATTCAATCCCTAATATAATACATACTTTCATACAATGCAGTACAGTACAATACAATACAATACAATACAGGCATTGTAAAAACTTTAGTAAAGATTATGTAAACCTCCATTTTATAAACAAAAAGACTGATGATAAGACCACTTAAAATTAAATATTTCTTAGCTAGGAATGGTGGTACACACATGTAATCCTTGGGAGGCAGAGACAGGATTGCTGTGAGTTTGAGATCATCATGGATTACATAGTTGACACCCTGCTCCAAAAAACTGGAAAAAAAATTAAAAAATAACTTCTTATGAGGCATGGTGGGCAGCTTGTGATCCCAGCTCCTTAGGAGACACACAAGAGGGTTGCAAGTTTGAGGGCAGCTGAGCAAGTTAACGAAACCTTTTATAATTTCTAAGTGGAAATTATAAAAATTCCAAGGAGTGTAGCTTCATGCTAGAGAATCCTTGGGTTTGACATACAGTACCACAAAAATTAAATAATAAATATTTCTCTAGAAAAATGTACCACATTAAAAAAAGAAAAAGAGAAAGAAAAATTATCACAAAATTTAATGACAAATTTGGAAATGCACATTGAAAAGGTAATATTTATTATATTTAATATATTGGGTCATTTTGGGATGCAGGGGTATTGGGAATTTAACTCAGAGCTTTCTCACACTTGCCATCTGTGTTGTTTACTTTCTCTTGTTGGGACAAAATACCCAACACTCAACATTAAGGAAGGATATTTATTATTTTTTAACTCACAATTTGTACAGGTTTCAGTCCATAGTCAGCTGGCTCCAAAGAAGGGTGGCATGGCACAGGGGAAACACTCCAAGGTGGCAGGAGACAGAAAAACAGCAAGAGCAAAAAGTAGGGGGAGAGCAAGCCTCTTGACCTGCCTTGTAAGCAGGCTACCATCCCACCAGAAGGGGTGTAGAAATCGCAGAATTTCAGTGCCCTTCTTTTGCACAGGCTGAGGATGTTTACCAAGTAAGGATCCTGACTCCCTGTTGAGCTACTTAGTTAAACTTCTAAACTTCTCAAGTTGATGCAATGTATCAACCATTAGGTGGACCTCTTGTCCTCTTGGCAACCTTGACACTTTTTTTTTTTTTTTTTTTTTTTTAGACAGGGTCTCTCTATGCAGTTCAGGCTGGCCTGGAGCTCACTTTGTAGCCCAGGCTGGTCTTGAGCTCATGCAATCCTCCTGCCTCAGCCTCTCAAGTGCTGGGATTACAGGCATGAGCCATCACTCCAGGCCAGACACATTTCTTTAAACAGGTCTCCAGATACAAAGGCATGCTTATTCTTACTATTTTACAACTTGAACATTGCAGTACAGGCTTAACAATACTTAAGAGCCAGTTTAAAGTCTGTCCATATTATATTACATTAGAACCATAAAATTTTGTCTCTGGCCCCCAAAGATTCCTGCACGTCGCTTTATGCTAAAAGCATTTAGTCCATCTACAATAGCTGCCAAAGTCCTAACAGTTTTAGCATTACTGAAAAGTCCCTAGTCCAAAGTCTCTGAGATTCAAAGCAAAATCTTAACTTCAGGCTCCTACACAAATGAAAACAAAGTAAACACTTGCAACATATAATGGCATAAAATAAACATTTTCATTCCAGAATTTATCCATGGGGATACAAAGGATTAGGACCAAAGCAAGTCCAGTCTCCAGCAGGGCAAACATTAAGTCTTGTAGTTCCACATCCAGCATCTGAATCAACCTGTGGCAAATTGTGAGCTGCAAAAGGCTTGAGTGACTCCATCCCTATGGCTGTTCTGGTGGTTGTAGTTCCCATGGCTTCTGTCTTAGGCCTGCTTTCCTCCCTCCATACAGCTTTCTTTAGATGATCTATGTTCCATGCTTTTCCAAACTTCTAGGGTCTCCACAGGACCTTTGGCTTCATACTCACAGCATCACACACTGCCGTCAGGAGCACACTGCCTGGGCTCCCAGACCTTCTTCTGAAATCTGAATGGAAGCCTTTTTAATCCCATAACTTTTACATTCTGCATGCACCTAAAACCCGCACCATGTGGATGATGCCAAGGTCTGCTGCCAGCTGGAGCAGTAGCCATGCTTTCCTCTCTTTGTGTAGAGTATGAGTACCTGGATTGCTGGGCACTCTAACTCCCAATTCTGAGGAACAAATTTCCTGTGCCACCACCATTCTGAAATCTGGTGTGGCCACTGCTGCCATTCTGGAATACGGTGCTCTGCAACTTTCTCCTCAAAGCAGTCTTTCGCTATCACAATTTTGAGGCTGCAAAGGGTGGAGTCCTGCTGCTTCTTGTGATGCCCTCTGGCCATCTTTTCTATTCTCCTGTTTCTTCTCAGTAATGAGTTTCCCCAGCTCTGTCTTTGCAGTCCATAGGTTTATTGGAGCTGCCTTTCCGACCAAACTCACATTTTAAATCATCCTGCTAGGCTCTTTGCTCTTGATTCTCAACATAGATCTGGCTAAAACCCACCAATAATAGCCATACCACCACCTTAACATTTGATTGCCTTCAAGTTTCTTCTGCCATATTCATTAGTCTGCTACCCTTAATCTTAGTCTCAGGCAAAATTTTTAGACATGAGCATAATACAAACTGTCTGCCAAGCCATAACACACATCATCTGAACAACAAATGCAGTCCTTCCCAGCAGAAACCTCTCAAACCTGGTCTTTACTGGCAGAATTTCTGTCAGCCTTCTGATCTCCTGGACTCCGATCAGAATCTTTGATTCAGAACAGCATAAGGCATTCCAGTGCTGCTCTTTCAGGTGACATCTCCAAACCTTTCCTAACTTTTCCCACAAGTCATTCCTAAAGGCTCTTGGGCCACAAGGCCAGGCACAGTCACAGCAATGACCCCACTTCTCTGGTACCAAATTCTGTTTGGTTACTTTTGTCTCATTGGTGGGACAAAATACCCAACACACAACTTTAGGGAAGGAAAGGTTTATTTAGCTCACAGTTTATGGAGGTTTCGGGTGATAAATCAGTTGGCTCCAAAGCAGGGTGCCATGGCACAGCAGCAGTACTTCAAGGTGGCAGAAAAAAGAAAAAACTGCAAGAGCAAAAAGTGAGGGGAGAGCAAGCCTCTTCTCTGCCTTGTATGGTAAGCAGGCTACCACCCTATCAGGGCAGGTATAGCAATCTCAAAATTTCCACGCCCTCCTCTTGCACAGGTTGAGAATGTTTACTAAGTAGGGGCCCTGGCTGCCCACTGAGTTGCTTAGTGAAGCTTCTAAACTTCTGAGGTTGACACAGCACCGTCCTCCTGTCTCAACTTTCCAGAACACTAAGATTATGGATGTGTGCCAGTAACACCTGACTGTAACACCTTCAACAGAGAGGGGAGGGCAAAGGTTTACACAAACTCAGAAGATCTCAAAGAAAAACACAAAAGAACTCAATAGAAAAATGGGCAAAAGGGGCTGGGAATTTAGCTCAGTGGCATAAGCGCCTGCCTTTGCAAGCAGGCAGTCGTGAGTTCGATCCCTGGTACCAATAAAAACAAAAAAGACAAAAAGAAAGAAAGAAAGAAAGAAAAATGGGCAAAGAACATGAATAGCAGCACAAAGAAATACTAATAGGTGGCTGGCAGGGTTATCTCAGTGATAGAGTATTTGCCTAATGTGTGAAGTCCTGACCGAACCCGTCACCATGAAACAGAAAAAATTATTTCAACATGATGTTCAACCTCATAGACTATCAAAGAAATGGAGGTAAAAGTAAGTTTTCAGTTATCAGATAAAAATAATTATAATGATCATTGTGTGCTAGGGAGTAACAACACAACTTGAGGGAGTACAAATTGGAGCTATATTCCTAGACAGTAGTCTAGAAATATGTTTAAAATATAGAATAAAGCATTTACTTTGATTCAGAATTTCTTCAAAGGTATGGCAAGTTTACGTATGTGTGTGAGATTGTGTGACTCTAAAAGACAACTTACAAGATATTTCAGTGAAAAAGTTACAGAATAGAATATATGGTCTTTATTTTTAATAAATATGTTAATATATGTCTAAGGCCTATAAAAATGTGAGGCATGGTAGCTCACACCTATAATATCTACACTCAAAGGATGAGGCAGGAGGATAGCAAGTTCAAGCCCAGCCTGGCAACTTAGGGACTTGGTGATATCTTGTGTCAAAAATAAAAGGTGCTGGGGATGCAGTTCATTGTGAAGGCCCTGGGTTCACTCTCCAGTACTGCAAAAAAAAAAAAAAAAAAAAAAAAAAAGTTAGTGTTAGTTTTTATTGCTAAGAGACAAAATTATGAGAGAGTCTCATATTTAAAAAATATTTTTATGACTATTAAATGCTTAAACTGAAGTGTTTCTTTTAATGAACAAAAACAATGAAACTGTCTCTATTTTGGAAAAAAGAAATTACATATTTGAAAGAAGGCTTGTTATTCTGAAGCATTCCAGAATGTTGAAGAATGCTGTTTCCTCACCTTCTGAATTAAACTTTTTGTGACTTATGTATCGCCCACTGATCAGACCCACCACCTCCCAAACAAGTGGACGATGAAGGCTTAAATAAGAGACAAGTGATGTGATTATAGGGTTCCTAAAGGCTCAAAACCCTTTAGCAGAATTCGAGATTCAAGCAGGCTCAGACAAAGAACTCTGGGCAGCCTGTATTTATTTGGTTTTCAAACAAGGAAAGGAGTTAGGCTAGAAAATGGGGGAAACTGAATAGGAACTTGGGAGTTGGTTCAAGGACTCCTCCTAGTAATAAAGTATGTTGATTTAAGAGAACTAGTTTATTTCCAGGTTGATTGTCATTGCAGGCTGCAGTCAGTCTTTATTATCTACTAATTGGGGTGGGAGTCAGGCGTCCTCAGCTGTGGCCTTATCTTGGCCTCTGAGATGTGACAGCATCACAGGCTACGACAGGCCTCAGCCAGGACCAGTGATGCACAGAGGTTCACTGCCCATCTCCAGACAAGGGGCTTAAGTTTGGGATAGACTCAGAAGTAAACACAGAAAGCCAGGTGGTTAATTCAAATCCTGCTCGGAGCCACTTCCTAATGGTCTCCATCACTAATGCTTATGTTTCTTATTTCTATTTTTAAGAGGATATTTGAGTGAAAACTTGTAAAGGTTTATCCTGGCTCTGGAATGACATGTGTGTTTTCATTTCAAATTATAGTAGTTAGCATTTTCAGAGGAAGATAATGCCTTGGTAATTTCTGTAAGTAGACTAAAGTAGAAACAGTAACTGCAAAACTTATAATGTCCTTAGAGAAATGGATTAAAGACACAAAACTAAACATAAAGCCACACTAAAAAGTTATAGACAGGAAAATAACTGCACTGAAAAACTGAGGAAGGATGTCGATTAACCAACGAGAAAACACACATTGTGAATGAGCTGGGAACTGACTGTTACTTTCACCTGTGTTCTGTGGGCAGGTGGTACGGATATTATGCTAAAAGAAGTTGTTTAAATTCACCTAAGAACTTAATGTTTTTTAAGCTTTAATGCAGTAGGACTAGCAAAATCGACTGTTTTTGTTTTTGTTTTTTGGGTTTTTTTTTTTTTTTTTTGGTACCAGGGATCGAACTCTTGACCTTACACTTGCCAGGCAAGTGTTTATGCCATAGAAATAAATCCCCAGCCCAAAATCGACTTTTTGAACAGTAAAAAAAGTTTTTCTTTTAAAATCTGAGATGACCAGAAAACCTTTTATTTGACTAATACCTAGGTTAAAACTTTTTTTCCTCTTGCTACAGGATTCGTGTTAATGGAGAAAGCCCAAAACATCGGTCATGGCACACTTTAACACCAATTGCTGATGATAAGCTTTTCCTGTTTGGAGGACTAAGTGCAGATAATATTCCATTAAGTAAGTTGATTAAAATCTAGCATGTGGTACAATTTTCGGTTTTTAAAAATCATATTTCACATATCTAATGCAGTCTCACCTTCCTTTTCTTTCTACTTTTCCCTTCATTCCCTGCTATACAATTCCATTAAGAATTAGGAAAACCTCTGCTCTTCTACCCTGGCTGTCCACGTCCTCCAGTTTCCTAGCTGGAGAGATGAGAAAGGGCAGTGAGCTTAGCTGAGTTCAAGTCCCTTTCCACTCATGTTCTGTGATTCTGTCTCCCGAGGACCTGTTAAGTACTCAGCAGAATTGTGTGACTCCTGTCACTGCTGGTCCCAATAGATCTGGATTTTGTGATGCAGTGTTTTGTTCTGTAATAAAACTTCTGCATCAGAGTAGACAAGTGACCAAGAAAAAGCACTTCCTGATTTGACATGTGAGATGTAGTTTATTATCTTAATCTGGAAGTATTCTATGACTAGAGGTGTTTGTTGAAGAACCTCATGTATCATAGAAACCAGGCTGTGTATACAGTATACAGAACCTGATATTTAACATAAGTTTATCGAGCTACTTGCTACTTAACATAAGTTTATCGAGCATCACTGGTACATTTGGCCATTTGCTGATCACCAAACACCAAAAGCTGTTGGAGAAACAGTAATTCCTGATAAAGGATGTTCTTGGAGATTATTGTATTTCTCCAATTTATGACTTTTTTTAATTTAAAGAGATTTAGAGTCACACTAAGAACTGATGTCTAGGGGCTGGGGGATTTAGCTCAGCGGTACAGGTCTGCCTGGTGAGCATGAGGTTGTGAGTTTGATCCCTAGTACAAAAAAAAAAAAAAAAAAAAAAAGAATTGATGTCTATTTTTCACTAGAGGTTAGTAGCTTAACTTTATAAGATCTAGTGTTCTTAATACTTATTTTCTAGCTTTGATCATTGACCTGTGGGAAATTAGATGTCTTAATTCTTAGTGTTATACTCAGTTGCTTCCTTCACTGATTCAATTTAAGATTGGTCCTATGGATACCATGAAATTATTTTTAATTTTGTTGATGGTAATAATGGCATTGTGAGCCAGGTGTGGTGACACATGCCTGTAATCCCAGCACTCAGGAAGCTGAGGCAGGAGAATTGTTGGAAATTCAAGACCAGCCTGGGCTACAAAGTGAACTCAAGCCCAGCCTGAACTGCAGAGTGAGACCCTGTCTCAAAAAGACCCCCCCAAAAAAAGATATCCTGGTTATGTAAAAAGTATCCAGTTTTTCAGCAATGCATACTGAAGTATGTATGGGGAAAATGATAGGCAATCTATGGTTTGATTTAATAATTCAACAACAAGAATAAAGAGATTAAGAGTATTTGACAGTCTTCTTATTTTATTTTTGGGAATCAAACCTAGGGCCTTACATGGGCTAAGTATATTCTCTGACTCTGAGCTATACTCCAGCCCCAAATCTTGCTACGTTACTGGGATATGTAGGTCACCCTACTTTTCCATATATGTATTCATGAAAAAATTTATGAAAAGATATGCATACACACATAATAAATGTAACCATCAATTTGGAAAACTTTAACACTGTATCTCAAAGACCTAATCTTAATTTCTGAATTCCTATAATATTGCAGGTGATGGTTGGATTCATAATGTCATAACAAATTGTTGGAAACAGCTCATACATTTACCTAACACAAGACCCAGGTAAGTCTAATAGTTAAGAATTTTTAAAGTATTAAGATATAGCACTGAATTTATAGTGATTGCCATTGAAATTATAAGCTATCAGGAAGGATATCTTTCAAATGAGCTTTATGTCACTTAAATAATTATAAAAGTTAAGTAAATTTTATGTAATTGTTGGAAATCATCTATCTAATTTTTACCCATATTTGCATATTTTATAATTTTTTATTTTAGGTAAATTCATCATCTTGCCTGATAAAATATGAAAAGGATCATTTAAAACATCTCATAATGTTAAGCTTTAAAATTTGTAATATTTTAATAAGTAGACAAGAATAGAGTAGGTTTTAATCGTTATTTCTTTTTAAAAGACGTTTTAAGCAATTTAATGAGAAAATTTTCTTCCATCTTGACCTAATAGATGACAGAGTATTTTCATTTGTTAATAGCCTGAGGCTGGCTGTGGTGGCGTACACCTGTAATCCCAGCACTCAGTAGACAGGCAGGAGGATCACTGCAAGTTTGAGGCCAACCTAGGCTACACAGAGAGTCAAGGCCAACCTGAACTACATGGTGAGACACTGTCCCTCCCCCCAAAAAAAAAAAAAATACAGGCTAGGGAGATAGCTCAGTGGCACAGTGCCTGACTGACAAATGCAAGGTCCTGACTTCAATTTCCAGTCCCCCCCCCCAAAAATAGTCTGATATATTCATTTATGTGAATTGTTTTAAAAAAAAAAGTAAGTGCTAGTTATTTGTGGTACATTATAGATCAAAAATTATAGAAACAGTATACTATCATTAGATAAGAAATAAAAACCAGAAGTATGGTAGTTCTTATTTTTTCAAGTTTGATTGAATAGTATAATAAAAGTATCTTCATGGGAAATTCAGATTAGACATAATAATCAGAGTAACAGATTATATTTCAAATATGTTTACTACAGATTAAATACTAGTATAAAGTCAATTTACTGATATATATTTTTGTTATTTTATAAGTGATACGTAATTTACTAGAAAAAAGCTCTAAAAGTATATATTCTTTGGTATGTCTAGATCTATTAATATGCACTATACATTGAAAGTCTTGTAATTACATATGTGATTCTTACATTTTTACGTATAAAGATTCATCAGAATATATCCTGAATCTTTTTTGAAACATATTTGCTTAATTTAAAAGTTTAATATTGAGGTCAGAGTTCAGTTCTTGCACAGCTGCTTCTTAGCTTTTTGGCTTTAAAGTCACTTGAAACAACATCAGTTTTCTTGGCTGTGAGATGAGGGATTTGGACTGGACTGTGTCTTTCTTCCAGTTTTTTTTTCTTTGATGAATGTGTTATAAACCAAAATGGTAGTGAAAAGATTTAACTTTAAATAGCTCCTATTTTTATGTTTCAATCCTTAACAAATGATTAGAGTGACACAACTATTACCAGTAATGTGCTAGTTAGAACTGGAACTGTATAAAGAGATTTCTTTCACTTCAGCTGATATGTCATGTAAATAATATGCTTTATTAGATGTTTAGGTGTTAAGTTTAGAGCAGCTTGGAGAGGACATAAACTATCAGTCTGTAGAACAGACAGCAGGTTGCAAGCTAGATGTCACCAAAATCAAGGCAGGAAAGGCTGTCCAGTGCTCTTCGATGATGAAATCCAGACCAGAGTTTCCTTAAGGCAGATAAAACAGAGACAGATCTCTCTTCGGGCATCAGGTGAGGAGGACAGGCGGGGTCAAGTTGAGTGTAAGGAGAATGTATATGTTTGTGTATATATTTATTCTTTAAATGAAAGTCACAATTTACTTACCATTCAGATGTATTCTGAAAAATTTTGAAGTTACAATTTGAAATGTAAGCAGCCCAGTGCTCCTCTTAGAAATCCAAGGTGAGGGACTGGGGCTTTAGCTCAGTGGCACAAGCGCTTCTCTGGCAAGTGCAAGGTCATGAGTTGGATCCCAGGTACCTAAAAAAAGAAATCTAAGGTGAGGTTTCTTGCCTTCCACACCAATGACATTTTGAACCAAATAACTCTTTTAAGGGCTGTTCTAGCCATACCCATGACCTTTACCCACTAGATTTGAGTAGAGCTGTTTTTCCCTTTCTCACATGTGACATCGGAAAAGGTTCAATGAATTGCCAGGTTCCTTTTTGGAGGACCAGTCGCTCCTGGCTGAGAAGCACTGTTCTGCAGTGCAGTTCTCTCTTCTCCGGGCTTCCCCTCACTTAAACTGTGTCAGTTACAAGCTGTCTGCAAAGCCATTGTCGGGCCGCTTTGGAACAGCCATGGGGGAGGCCTTCCTGCACATCTTTTAAAGGTTTCGGTAAAGTGCTAGCATTCAGAGACGTGATGCTGCTCAATGCCATGAGTATCGCCAGGGTTATACATGCCTTCTCTCCCAAAAATTACTCTGTCCCTTCCTATGTATGGGATGCTCATTCCGTAAGTCTCCCTGGTGGCTTCCTGCTGGGACTGCGGATCTGCACTGATTTATGTTCTAACACACAATTTGGAGAACTGGGCAGAGCATTTCACAGACAATGTATGTAGTGACTTAGCTGTGTCCTGGGTCACAGGTGCCTGTCATTCAGTATGTGCATGACAAAAGCATTTGATTTAACAAATTATGTATACTTAAATACTTGAAATACTGTTCGTATTTATGAAATTTAAGTAAAAAGGATTAATGTTCCAAAGCTCAGTTTTGTAGCAGTATAGTAAGTGATAATATTTCGTCGATTTAGGTATCTGTTGCTTCAGAAGTTTTTCTATTAAGAAAAGGAATTGCGAGCCAGGTGTGGTCGCACTCACCCATAACCCCAGCACCAGGGAGGCTTAGGCGGGGAAGTACAAGCTCAGACCAACCTGGGCAACTTAGCAACTTATGGAAACCTGATCTCAAAATAAAATTTTTAAGAAAAGGGGACTAGGGATGAAGCTCAGTCAGAGACCTTGGGTTTGATCCCCAGTACTAGAAAGAAAAGTGCTCACAATTAAAAAATCAGTAACTTTGAGTAAAATCACTAACTTTGTAAAAATTCTTTAATTTATTCTGTAACATTAGGACATTTATACTTTTTTTCAGAGAATTAGAAATATTGTACTTTATAAACTATATAAAACTATAAAATTTAAAAAACTATAAAATTATTTTTGATAAATATAAATAAATATTTTGAAGCCAGGCATGGTGGCGCAGTCCTGTAATCCCAGCACTCAGGAGGCTGAGGCAGGAAGATTATCTCAAGCTCAAGACCAGCCTGGGCTATAAAGTGAGCTCAAGGGCAGCCTGAACCACATAGTGAGACTCTGTCTCGAAAAGACAAAACAAAACAAAAATAAATAAATAAATAATAAAAATCTGAAATAGAGAGTGGATATGAGCTATCAGACCATTGCCAAAGAAATTAGTGGATCTCTTTTATAATTTGTATATTTAATCATTGAATAAACTGTATTTGTATTTTATGTTCGATTTTGCAAAAAATACCATACTGGGCATATTTAAATAAAATTGGAATACCCAGGTTGTACCACTGTGCCGGGATACAGTTGTAACCACTTTGGGGCAGGGACCACGGGGATGCTTAGCCTTCTCTGATTCTGCGGTGTGAATCCTCCCCAGCTGATGTCAAAAACCTGAGCCTGGCAGAGAGAGGCATGGCCAGCTTCACCTCACCAGGGAGCTGGGCCCAGCACACCCTACGGCCAGCTCTGACCTCATGGACTTCATAGGTTTTTTAGAGAGCTAGGACTCACACAGGGCAGATAATTAAGGTAATAGACAGAGCAGTTAATTTTCAAATGTAAGTCAGGAGAGTATAAAATGCACTTCACGTGGTCTGCAGTGAAACCAGTTTGGATGGGTTATTAGTAGCACTTACTGGGGCTTGTGATTGTGTTTAAGGCTTAGAAAGAATGACCTTTCTAAATGTAAGAAAAAAGTGAACAATTCCTACAGGTAAATACAAGCCTTTTTTCCCGGTTAAACAAGGAAGGAGAGTTGTCTGAAATTGAGGGCTTATTTAGGAAGAGGCAAGAATTAAACTTTATGAGTAAAAGAAGTAGCAGTTGATCATAAATATTAGGCTAGAGAAGCCAGCAGTTGGTTCTAGTCAGAAAGTTTCCATAGTAAGTATAGTTTACTGCAATTTATGTTTCAATATAACTAAGATTCCAAAGGTCCCTAACACAGAAATGATTGATATTTGAGAAGATGGAATGCCACTTCCCTAATATTATCATTACACATCATATACATGTATTAAATTATCACAGGTATCCCATGAATATGTGCAAACATTATGTGTCAGCTAAAACTTTTCAAATGTCTAAAGAGCAGAACTTTTGCAAGTATTATTTATTAGCTGTATGTAGGCAGAGAAGGTTAAGAACAGAACTCTAGGAGCATACTGTGGTGTTCTGTGCCCAGAGTATGAGGGGGCTGACCGTGGACATCGGCCTGTGGGAGTGGCCACCGGGTGGGGCACAGCGGCAGGGTCAGCTCAGAGAGGCCTGGAAAGGTGCCTGGGCAGCGAGGAGGGAATCAGTTCCTTTGTCACCTGTCGAATTTCAGGGGTAGTGACTGTGAGATGAAGGGATTAGAGAAAGGTCAGGTGATAGAACAGTTATTAGGGATCAGCTCCTTAACTAAAATGAAGTGATTCTAGGGCTGGGCATGATGGCACACACCTGTAATCCCAGCACTTGGGAGGCTGAGGCAGAAGGATCACCGTGAGTTTGAGGCCAGCCTAGGCTACATAGTGAGCTTACGGCCAATTTGTATTACATAGGGAAACTCTGTCTCAAAAGAAAAAAAAGAGAGGGAATCAAAATATATGATATACAGGTACAAATTCCCTATGATAAATAGGATCTTTATATCTAAATTCTACCAATAAATTTTTAAAAATTTTTTGTACCAATAGATTTAAAATTAAAAACTATTTAATGAACTCTAGGGGAATATTTGAAATGTAACCCGTTTGCTTCTTGTAGTGCACACATCTGTAATCTCAGTACTTGGGATGCTGAGGCAGGAGGCTCACCATGATTTCTAGGCCAGCCTGGACTACATTGTGTGTTCAAGGCAACCTGAACTACATAGCAAGACCCCTGTCAAATAAATGGATGGATGGATGGATTGATGGATGGATGGATGGATAGACAGACACACAGACAGACAGATAATAGATAGTAACCCCTTTGAGGATATGTCAGCAGTTCAAGTTCAATCAAAAATTTTAGAGTGTACAGTTTACAAGTGACTTGTATATAATACCAGTTTCTTCCTTGATAGTATTTCACTGTGTATAATTTTCAATTGTAGATTATGGCACACAGCCTGCTTGGGAAAAGAAAATGAAATAATGGTATTTGGTGGGAGCAAAGATGACTTACTTTCCTTGGATACAGTAAGAAAATCTTTTACATAAATATTTTCTCTGTGTAATTATGTTATTCACACCGAACAGCTACTCAGCAACAGGGTTGCTAATCTACCTTTGCAAAATATGGAAGGAAATAAAATGTTACCTTGAGAATGTTTAATCTTCACATGGTGGCTTTTGGGAAGCATTTCAGGATTTTTAAACTCAAAAGGTGGCATGCAGTATTCAGGGAGGCTGACGCAGGAAATTGCTTTTTTTTTTTTTTTTTAGTTTACTGTTTTTATTAGTACATGTTTGCAGTACATAATGATTAGAGTTCATTTCTTGTGGAGAGTGGTACGTGTGCACAGCACACCTTGATTGTTCTATGTCCCCATCCTCTTCCTTTCCTGTCCCTGAGAATTCCAAGTTTGAGCACAGACTGGGCCACTTAGCAACTCACCAGGACCCTGTCTTAGGAAAAAAACAGTGGTGGGGACGAAGCTCAAGTGTGAAGGGCCTGGGTTCAGTCCCCAGTTGCGCAAACAAGCCCGTAGTGGAGGGAGGGAGAGACGAAGGAGGGGAAAAGAAAACAGCCGAAGAAGAGTTCCCTGGCTAGGTTATTAAGATGAGCCTTTAAAGGATGACACTTTTCTTCGAACTTTGTGAAACTATGGGTGTCTATAATTTTATTGAATTAAAATGTGTATCTGTTTTGACACATAAAATACACATATATGAGATAATTGCCCATAAAATTTGCTAATTTAAGCTTTGTAAGGTAGTACACACCTGTAATGTCAGCACTGAGGGAAGCTGGGTGGGAATATTGCTGTGAGTTGATAGACCATACAGTGAGTTTAGGGCCAGTCTGGGCCACATAGCAAGACCCTGAGTCAAAGAAAAAAATTTTAACCAATTTTAAGAACTAAGTGAGACACTATCAGTATTGTCTGAGTTACTTTTCTTGTTACTAAGACAAAATACCTGACACCTAGAGTTAAAGCAGGAAAGGTTTATTGTAGCTCAGTTTGTAGAGGTATCAGTTCATAGTTGGCTGGCTCCCAGGCAGGATAGCATGGCAAAGCAGAAACAGTTCATGGCAGGCAGAAGGCAGGAAGGCAGCAAAGCACAGTGGCCACAGCAGCCCTCTTTCTGTCCCTTATATTCTGTCCAGGCTACACGCCCTTAGGGCGGGCCTTCCTACTCTCCACGCCCAGAGCCATGCCAAACCATTAAGTGGACTGATGTAGTGACCACATGCCCTTGATCCCTGAATCCCACACTCCAGATCCAGCCTCCTCTGAGCAACCCCATCTAAGGCCACACGAGGCTTTGGGGGGACATCTAGACCCAAACCATAATAAGTACTGTTGATGCCACCTTTTATTACTTCTGAATCTCACCCATAACTTCTTCCTTCAGGAGAAAGCCATTTTGTTAAAACACTTAAAGTGTATTTTCTTTTCATTTTATGCATTTGTGCATACTGATTAGGCAGGCGTGGGAGGGGTGTATACTTGTATGTGTGCTTTTCATGTGTCTGTATTACTAACTAGAGAGAAATATATTTTTGCTACTTTACGTAACTTCTTTTACATTTATAAAATAAAAAGATATATTTAATGCACTGCCATTTTATCAAAAATCCCTGATAAGGTGTTTTTTGTGTTGACTAGGGTCACTGTAATGATTTACTGATCTTTCAAACACAGCCTTACTCACTACTCAGGTAAGCAATCAGTATTTTTACATGGATATGCTATGAGGATATGATAATTTATTTCTTTGTCCTTCTTGGGAGGAGTTATCTTTTTCAGGTAGTTTATCACTTGAAGTCAAGAAAATGTTTACATCTTTCTAAGAGTATCCTCAGACCCAAATACCAATGTGACTTTTATTTAAAATATATGATGCAATCACATTTTTTCCATTTATAAAATTGCTTTAAATATATATGGTAATATTAAACATACTATAGTTCCTTAATTCTAAGATTTTGATATTTAACTCTTAGAAATCAAAATGTATCTAATAATTATACATTATGTATGTTTTCTTTAAATTCAGCACAACATCGAGTGTAAAATAATCTGTTTAATTGCAAACCTGCGATTGACTCAGTGGTGACTGACAGTGTTGTAGCTGCTCCTGTGGATGCCGAGCTGAGCCTGAGCAGGCGGTGGCTGGGGGAGTCGGAGGAAGGGGTGGAGAAAGGTAGACATGAAGAGGTGCAGGGCTTTTATGTGTGGAATAACGGGTAAAGGCATCCGAGGGACAGAGGCCATGTGGGAGGGAGAGCATGCTGCATTTCAAGGCATCCACCACAGCTTCTAATTGTTCTATGACCTGGTGACTTGTCTTGAGTTAGATCCTCATGGGGAGCTTCAAAAAACACTGACACCTGGGTTCTGCCCCTGGGTCACATGGCCTGAACTTTGAAGACCATGGCTGCCACGATTTCTAACACTGCTCAGCCTTTCCCGTGAGTGCTGTGCAGGGCTAAAGGATCATCTGGGCACCCAGGAGAAGCCAAGCCTGCTGAGAGGGGCCGGTCTTTCTTTGTGTGCTGCTGGGAGGAAGTGGTAAGGAGGGAGCTGCTGCAGGTACAGGACAGGAAGGAACAGTTGGCAGTCACGGGTAGTGGATTGTCACCACAGTCAAATTAGCCTTTGACTGGGAGGAGAATACTTTTAAAACCTTGGAGAGAGAAGAAAGTTAGGATATAAAGGGAAAAATCTGCAGGTTGGGGCCAGCACCTTGAGAAGGTTTTGGTTGATAGAGTCCATCTGATAAGTATCGGGTGGGGGAGTGAAAAGGGGTGCTGCTGAAAAGCTGGCACCCTTGAGGGGTGCTCTGGGCTCCAGAAAGTGAGGCACTGTGTCCAGCTGGGTGTGGCGGGGTGGGTAAGAAAGCCTTCTGGAAGGAGACTGGAGCTGTCGGCTGAGAAGTGCAGCCTTCGGCCTGGGCTGGGTGGGAGAGTGAGGCTCGACTGGGGGCTCCCTGGGGGCTCCAGATGTCCAGGGCTGCAGGGTGAAGGGAGCGGGGTGCGAGGAGGAAGAGGAGAAGAGAGTCCTGTGTGGAGCAACGCGCCATCACATGTGAAGTGACTTAACTCCCTCCTGTCCCGTCCTTGTGCCTCCATGCCGCCCTCGTCTAGTTGCTCTGGCCGCTTCCAGCACTGTGCTGAACAGGGGAGGCGATGGTGTTCACATGGGAAGAGCAGGGGAAAGGAGGAAGGGAAAGGAAACGGCAAGAAACAAGGAAAAAAAGGAAACAAAGCTTGTACATGGGGAGGGGCAGGGCTGAGGGGAGGGGGGGAGAGGGAATGAGGAATCGCTGTGTGCGTGCAGCTGCAGGCTCCCTGTGACCACTGTGAGTGCTGGGTAGACCTAAAGTGAACCCGAAGACTTACTAACATAGAAGTTAAAAAGAAGACTTCTCATCCGGAGGGGGACGCGGGTGTGGAGCAGTTCAGGGAAGGAGCACCCTGACCGCAGTGACACAGCCACGGCCAAGTCCCAGGGCCGAGGGCAGCGAGGTGGCCCGGGTGACCCCTGGCACGAACCCGTGTGTGCGGAGCAGCAGCAGGAGACCCGGAGGTGAAGGAAGCGCTGCCCGAAGGGGACACGCAGGACCCGGTCTAGACTGAAATAAGAGAGCAAGGACAGAGACCAGGGAGGCGCAGTGTCTGTGGGCTGGCCATGCACTGCTCTGGAGGGAGGCGAGGCTGGGGTGGCCAGCGGGGAAGGCAGGGGACAAATCTGAGCCCAGCCTGTGCTTCTGGGGACCGCGCCTCTGTGGCTGAGGTCATTGAGCTGCTGAGCCCAGGGCCAGTGGCGGTATTTCGTGCGAAGCTTGCTTGGCACTGCTGGCTGCGGTGCTTTCCAGCCCGAGGTCAGCAGCGTTTTGTGCCCACTGCACGGATGAACAGGAAATAGCTTCCTTTCTTTGCGCACGATCCAGCGGATGACGTGCGGGCCCTGCCCCTCGAAGACACATGTATACGGATGCGCTTTCTCAAAGAAATAGTTCTGTTCTTTGTTCAGATTTCAAAAGATGAGATCTATATGGACAAAGAAATTCATTTAGTGTGGAAAGTGTATGGTTAAAAAAAAAACGACACTTCTTCCTTGGGAAAACACGATTGGATGGTCAGGTGGCACAGTGCTTCGGGAGGGCCTGGAAAAGGCTGGGGTCAGCAGGGGAGTCCCGTCACCAAGTGCTGCTATGAGGGCCGGAAGAGTAAGTCCTGGAAGGCGGCTTCTGTCCTCCTTGCGCATCAAGGCATCTGAGATGACCATTGCCTGGGCGTGTCCCTCAGGGCGAACTACCGGAGACCAGGCCAGGCGACAGCAGCCTGAGCCAGCTGCGGACAGGTGTGAGGCTTCCATGGTGTTGGGGACCCCAGTGGAGCCCTAGGAATCTGGTGTAAAGTGCCCCAAGGAGGCAGCTTCTGCTGAGGGATGTCCTCTTGGCCGAGCTCTCCACTGTCCCGGGGAGAGAGGCCACTGGGGGACAAGATTGCCCAGCCCATAGGGAGCCTCCCAAGGTGGTCACAGCAGGGCCTCCATGTCTGTCTGATCCCTGATCCCGGGGCACGGGTGACCTCGAAGGCCTGTGCCCAGGAAGCTGGTGGGGACCGGTGCCTGCCATGCCTCTGCCAGGCTCTGCGCTGCCTCCCGTCAGCTTCTCCAAGGCCACCTCTGATGCCCTTTCCAGGGCCTGAAGTTGCCTGGCCAGGAAGGCAGCATCACTGTCCAGAGGACGGAGCTCTGGCGCAGCCGCAATGGAGGATTTTAACAGGGAGAACAATGTGAATACATTCCAGAAATTACAAAACAACAGAAACCCACCTGTGAACTGTCACTCACAGAGATTGAGTTTGGGATGTATTTTTCCACTTTGATGCTGTTGCTAAACAATATGAGTGGATTCAACCACTCCAAGAGGCCACAGGACATGGGGCCAGGGGCAGGCGCACGTCTAAAGCTCACTGACACTGTCTTATAATCCAACTTTATTTTTGGTGCCGGGGATCAAACTTATGACCTAGCACTTGCCAGTCAGGCTGTTATGCCACTTAGCTAAATCCCCAGCTCACAATCCAACTTTACACTTTGCATGGATCATCATTTGGGTTACTAGTCCCGTTTATACTATTAATGGCAATATGCATATAATTTACTAGATTAGTGGTGCATCTTTAGGACTACTGCACTTTGGGGCTGTTATAAAAGTGAGGCGTGAGCTCCAGCCTGTCCAGCATGTTCCTGCAGAGGTCTCCCTGGCTGGCGGGGTCAGCGTGGCCCCTTCGCCTGGGCGATGAAGCCCATCTGGGACTGCTGTCCAATTCCTGTGGAACTCAGCACCCGTCCTAGGCCTGGCCGCAGCGCTGAGTGCCTCCTTACTCCTCCACTAAGTCGTGCTCTCCTGGGACTGCGAAGTGGGTTTCCTGGGGTGGCTTTTCTGCCTGTACTGTTTCAAGAAGACAGCGACGAGGAGCAGCAGAGCCACCCTGGCCCGGCCTCTGCACCTGTACCACCATGGAAGTCTGGGGCTCTGGTGCTTTCCCCTTCAGCACCAGGGTGGGGCATTTAACCACTCACCCTTGTCAGGGAGACCAGGGGCTTCGCCACGGTGCAGGAGGGTGTGCACAGCTGCAGGGTGCAAATCCGGGCTTGTAAAAGTGACCACAAGACCTCGGGGGCGGGGATTAGTGGGAGGGCGTTTGGGAGACCCCGGGCTAATCCCAGGTTCTGGGGGGAACAAGTCATCTAGTTCTAGTATACCCTTTTAAAGAGATTTACTTACTTATTTGAAGTTTAGTTGTTGAAATAGTTTTGTTTTGTGTGTGTGATAATTCTTAAATTGCTTCTGGTTTAAAAGTATAAACCTATCTCAGAGTAGCATCAGATAAAAAGGGAATGGTATTTGGAAATAAGCGCACTAAAGGGACAGTGTAGAGGGGAGGATGAACACCAGGCCTCCTGAAGGGTAGAAATCAAGCGGTCCTCTGCTGGCACCAGGCTTCTCCAGCGTGTCTGCCCTCCAGGGCCAGTCAGGTGCACAGCCTGCACTCCTGACTTTGTTTCTGTTGGACTTCATTCTGTTACAGTGTCTGTGCAATAAAAATGTGATTATTGTTGTGCTCTTAGAAAAAAATCTTATGTTGCAGACAACATAGAGGAAGTACATTCTTATGTAAAGTTTTGTGGGCTTTTTTTTTTTTAAACAGGAATTGAACTCAGGACCTTGCACTTGCCAAGCAGGTGCTGTACTGCTGAGCTGCACCGCGGCCCTTGTGTGAAGTTTTATAATCATTTTTATTTTTAAGAATACTTAACTAGGGCTGGGGGTTTAGTTCAGTAGCAGAGTGCTTCCAGTGGTAAGGTAGGTCCTAACTTCCATACCTAGCCCTGAAAAATAACAATGGAGTACTATAAATATTTTGTATTATAACTTAAGGTCCAACAACTAATATTTTTTTTTTTTTTTTGGTACCAGGGATCGAACTCATGACTGCATGCTTGCAAGGCAGGCACTTAGGCCAATGAGCTAACTCCCTAGCAAACAACTAATAATTCTGTAATGTTCTGTTTACAGGTCATGCCTTGACTGCATTGGTAAAAATGCTATCATTTTAAAAAGTCAGATATCTTTGTTACCTCCTAAACTCCTACAACAAGTACTCAAAAAAATAACATTCTGGACTGCAGCTAATCACCGGGAAGAACAAAGAGTTCAGAAAGAAACAGACAAGAAGTGCCAGGGGGTCAGTAGCAGCTGAATGGATGCACACCCCGCCTATAGGATACAGCAAGCCATTCAGTCAGATTCCACGCCCTGCTGCAAGCTTCATTTCAGGATAAAGTTTGATACAGAAACGTCCTGCAAAAGTCACATATGGCATGGGATTTGTGGACATAAGATGCGAATGTAGGTTCCTTTATTTCCTTGTAAACTGCAGAGCAAATATCCTTACTTACAGAAACTTTCTGAAACTTATAACAGCTCTTAATGTTTACAGGAAGATTATGCAAATTTGAGAAAAAATTACCCTAAGGATTTTATAAATATATATGTGTGTATTCATTTTTCAGAAAAGTATACATTTTCTCAGATTACTTTAAAATTACCTAAACATCTCCTTAAATAGCTCAGTTATTAAATAACTTCTCCTTCAATAACTAATAAATATGGCCAAAAATTACACAATGGGCGTGGCATTCACATGGAACTCCTGCCCTTTTAGCACTTTTCTAGCGTCCACAGGCTGCATCAGAGCTTTCTTTGAATAGAATACATGTTTTCAATTTTATATCCTTTGCCACCACTATTAGCTAGTCCAGCTTTTAATATAAAGATCATGTTTTATGGTAGAGAAAGTGGAGACTAATTCATCATACAAAGAATTTGGATAATGAGACATGGAACATTTATTAACGTTTGAAATACTTAAAAGTTTTCATGGACCAGGTTTGGTGGATTCACCTATAATCCCTGCACTTGGCAGGCTGAGGCAAGAGGATCACCACGAGTTCAAGGCCAGCCTGGGGTCCATAGTGAGTTCAAGGAGGCCTGAACTGCATAGCTGCGTCTCAAAAAAATTTTTTTTTTGCCTTAGAAAAATATTGCTAATGTCATTTTTGTAAGCACTGAAATGGGTGGTAATCTATTTTGCCTTTATTAAAATCCCTCACTTTGGCCCATATTGCTCTAGAGCTGATACTCAAGACACCAACATGTTCAAGATCTGGTGTCTTCTCGTTTGTTTTTAATGTCACCATCTGTTCAGAAGTGGAGCACTGTATAGTCCCCCAAATGGTACTTCCACCATAATTGAGACATTTTTCTTTGTATTATGACACTCATGCCCTGCCATTGACTAACTGGTTGTAATTACTAATTTTATACAGTGTATAAAATTACTGGCAGCTGGGCTAAGTCCATGCAAGTTTTGTCAAATTAAAATGTTAGAGAAGTGTTTCTGTAGCCTGTGGTCTTTGGTTAGAGAGATTTTTATCCAGATACACTGTATTGTGGATGTGCAAAGCCATTTATGGAATTTTCTGGAATATTTTGTGCACGTTTTATTTATTGTACAGAGCGTTACTTTTTCGGTGTTGTCATTAGATTGTGCAAAAACAATGTCAGTGTGCGTTGTGATTTTATTTTTAAGTCTTCATAACAGATCTAGCCAGTGAATCCCACGAGTACGGCAGGTTTTCGGGGGCCCACCTGGGTCCCGGGAAGAGGGCGTTCCTCTCTGGGCCGCTTGGTGCGGAACACCCGGCACCGTGGGATTGGCACCCTCAAACGTGCTCTCATTCAGGCTTCAAGAGCTTGAAACCCCCACGCTCCATGGAGTTAGGGAACCGGCTGCTGCCGGCTCGGAGGAGACTTTAGGGACGAGCCGTGCCCTGAGAGCCCTGCTGTAGCTGCAAGAAGCAGAGGAGCAGGAACGAAGGCTGGAACCGGGCCGGACCGGACCGCGCACAAGGCTGAGAATTTTCCTCTCCTAGCCGGGCGTGGTGACACACGCCTGTGATACAGGCGCTGGGGAAGCCGAGGCAGGAGGGTCGCTGCGAGTTTGAGGCCAACCTAAATTACATAGCAAGTCCTGTCTCAAAAAACAAATTTAAAAAAATCCAAAAATTAGGACACTGAAATACCCTTGTAATGCCCGCTATCAAGGCGAAGGCAGGAGAACCTGAAGGTAGAGGTGATTTAGCAAGATTTTGGCCCAAAATAAAATCTACAGATCGCTGTGTTGTGTCTTGGTAAAGCGCTCCTGGCTTCCATCCCTAATAGTGGGAAAATTATGTCTTAAAGTACTAGGAGTGGAACCCAGAGCCTTTGCCGGCGCCACAGCTGCTGCCCTGAGCGTTGGGAGCGGGGTTCGCTGACCGCTGCCTTTGCTCCCCGTCCAGCCAGCGGCCCCTGCCCGCGGCTGCCCTCCTCTTCCTAAGGAACGGACTGCAGTGCGCTGGGTGGCGACGCAGCGAAGATCCAGAGCCGCTGCCTTACACCTGGGGAGGCCAACGACGAGTTCCGCCAAGTGAGAGGGACCTTTGTGGGCACAGGAGGACCCTCACAGCTGGTGACCCACCGTGCGCGCCTGGCCCCTCCTCAAGGTGAATGGCAGGGTCCGGACTGACCCAGGTGCTGGCAAGGTCACCCTTTCATCAGGCTGACACTGGTTACCTGCGTGTGGTGCCCGGCGGTGCGGTCACCAACAGGGAGAGACGTCCTGGCTGTGGATGTGGCTCCCGTGGAATATGCCAATGGCAACAGCGTGGCCACCAGGCTCTCCCATATTTTTGTTACTGGCAAAGTCAATAAACCATGGATTTCTCTTCCTGGGGAAGGGAGACCCACCTCACCATTGCCAAAGAGAGACAAAAGGCTGGCAGCCAGGGAGCAGTGGGTGAAATGGTCATAGGTGACAGGTGGGACGTCATCAAAAAGAAAAAATGAGACAGTCTGACTAAATTGCCCGAATTCAAATGTGTGAATCCTCCTGCCTCAGCCTCCCAGAGTTCTGGGATTAAGGACTGCGCCTTCGCGCTCAACTCAGAAGGAAAAAAAGTTGTTTAATGTAGGACTCTACCGTAAAAACAGGAGGCAACTGGAGAGTCTTTAAGAGAAGTAATCACACCTGATGCCATTTACACAGCAGGCCGGGACCCTCACCCAAGGTCGCTCAGCACAAGTCCGTGCCCGCCGGAGCCGCGCCTCCCCCGACTCCGGGAGCACCGGGCGGGCCTGGCGGCGGGTGGCCGGTGGCGGGTGGCTGGAGGACGCGGCGCCACCTCGTGCCCGGGCGGGGCGACGGCGGCGGGAGGACCGGCGCTGGGGGCGCTGAGCGCTTCCGGAGCGCGGCGGCGGCGGCGGGCGCGGGGCGGCGCTTCCGGGGCCCGGGCGGAGGCGGGGCGCGGCGGGGAGCGGGCGATCGCACAGCGGCCCCGCCCGGCCCCGGGCCGCCGCCCGCGCCGCGGTGCTCGGAGCTGCAGCCGAGCATGGCTGAGGGCGCCGCGGCGCCGCGGGAGGACGGGCTGCCGGGCGCGGCCTTCGCGGGCTGCGAGGCCGCCGAGCTCGCCTGCCCCGCCGAGCGCAGCGGCCACGTCGCCGTGACCGACGGGCGCCGCATGTTCGTCTGGGGCGGCTACAAGGTCAGTGCGCGCGCCCCGGCCCGTTACCCCGCGGCGCGGGCTGCGGCGGGCGGTGGGAGGGCGCGGTGGGGCGCGGCTGTGACCCCAGCGCCCAGGAGGCTGAGGCAGGTGGATCCCCGAGTTCCAGGCCAGCCCGGGCGCGCTCCATAGTGAGCTCAAGGACAGCCTGGACTGCACAGCAGGATGCACTCAAAACACGGCCACCACCGCATTAAGAAAGCATCGAGGCGGGCGTGCTAACTCACGCTGTGGGCTCCGCATGCGGGAGGCTGAGGCAGAAGGATCGCCACGAGGTCCAGGCCAGTTAGACGCTCGCAAAGGGAAACAGAAGGAAGCGGTCCCCGGGGCGAGGAGTAGCTGGACCGCCGCTCCTCGGTCCCTCGTGAGCGCTGGCATCGGACCCCGGCTTGTGGAGCCGCTTGCGGTGTTGCTGGCGCCCGGACTCGGGTGTCTCCGGGCTGGAGCGCGCGCTGCTTCTGGCCTTAGAGCGGGGTCGGCGCTGTTTCTGGAGCCGCCTCACGCCCGGGCTGGGTCTGTCCACCCACCATAAAATTCTGTTACTCCAGTTCGGTTAAAAGCGTCCCCTCCCGACGGCTGGAAGGCCAGGCCCGCTGCCCCTGGCTCGGGCCGATGGAGCTCGGGGCGCAGCGACATTTGGGGGCGCCGTGGGCGCAGGGCGCGCGGGCGTGTGGAGGTGACAGGGCTGCCGAGGGGCAGGCGCGGAGCCGGGCGCGGTTCCCAGGGATCCGGGATCCTCCGGCCGCGCCGCCCAGCTGGCCCTCGGTTCCGGCTCGGCCTTCCCGGTCCGCTTGCGCCTTCGTCGGCCGCGAGCAGAGCGGAGCGCGCACAGGGCGGCCTGGCCGTGCCCGGCGCCGGCCTCCAGCCGCTGGCTCTGGCGTGGCGGGGACCCCGCTCGCTGTCCGGGGCTGACCGCGGAGCGGGACAGCGGTCAAGTTCAGGGAGCCGATGCCTGGCTCCACGTCACGGCGCGAGGTGGCCGTGGGCGAATCCGCCTCTCTGGACGCCGGCAGTTACTACTTTGCCGCTTGGGGTGCGGAAAGGAGTCGGTGGGGAGCGGTCGGCGCTGGCGCAGAGCTGAGTGTTGGGAACTGACACCCGGAGAGAAATGGAGACCGAGGGACTCCGTTTTGGAGACTTGCTTAGCAAGAGCGAGCGAGCAGGCGCAGGACGAGCTTGCTGCAAAACCGACGTGTGAGCCCGGGTGGGCATGCCTGTGGCCCGAGGTCACTGCACGGGTGACCTCTGAAGCTGCACACTCTGCAGGGTGCGCTGTGCAGGCCTTTGACCTTTCCCAGAGCCGAGGGCTCTTGTGACGCCACTGCCACTGCGGGAGGTGAGAATTTGAATTCAGGGCTGTCTGAGCTCTGCCGTAGGATGCTATGAGAAAACCGTTTTATTTAACGTAAGTGTAAGACATTTAATCTTCCATGACGTATTATTTGGTGTTTTAGAGACAGGGTTTTGCTATATACAGTTCAGGCTGGTCTTGAACTCACTACAAAGCCCAGGTTGGTCTCAAACTCTGGATCCTCCTGCCTCAGCTTCCCGAGTGCTGGCATTATAGTTGTGCACCACCACACCCAACTCCATGACTAATAACTAATTATTACTCCAAATAATTAGTTACTCCAAGTGTGTTACTTATATTTGCATTTTCTGATTCTTCCTAGAGTAATCAAGTCAGAGGATTATATGATTTTTATTTGCCTAGAGAAGAACTATGGATCTACAACATGGAAACTGGAAGATGGTAACTGGGTATTATGGGACTAACAGATTGCTTTAAGATTGCAAAGTAAGGGCCCAGAGATGTAGCTCAGCAGCCAACACCTGCCTGGCAAGCACAAGGTCCTGAGTTCGATTCTTGGTACCAAAAAAGATTACAAAGCAAAAATAAAATTAAACCTAGTGAATAAAAACAATTGGAGATGCTACCTTATCTGTACATTCACAAGTGTTCTGGTTTAGCTCAGCTGTTTTTTGTTTTCTTTTTTCTTTCTTTATAGTCTCTCTTCAGCATAGTTTAGTCATTACTAGATACTTTTTGACCTGAGGAGAAATCTCTACTCAGGGCTCCGTGGAGTCCCACGAGGTGGATGGAGACGTCAGATCCTGGCATGGAAGGATGTGATTTCCACACGCTTTTCAAAGCTGGCACAAGCTTCCCTTACACAGTGCCTGGGATGAACTCAGGGTTTTGCTGTTAGAATGGGCAGTGCTTGGCTGGGCACAGCGCTGCGTGCCTGTAATCCAGACTCCGCAGACGCTGAGGCAAGACACTGTGCCTGCTGCTTGCCGGTTGCTGGGGCAGATTCCCCGGCAGGCACAACCTGCAGGAGGAGAGATCCATGCAGCTCAGGTCTGCAGTCCAGGCTATGCTGGCTCCGGGCACCACCTGCAGCTCAAACCCTGGCAGCCCAGGAGCAGCAAAGGGAGGAGCCAGAGTCTAGAATCCTTCCCGATCACACCCCAGTGCCAAACCTTTTGACCCCACTCTACCTAACCTAGCACTATACCAAAGAAGGGCGGGAGATGTAGCTTAGCACTCCCTGGGTCCAAACCCTAGTGGTGAGAAAGAAATATCAAGATTTTTATCTGCTGGCAGTGAAGCTCACTGACAGGAAAGCTGGAGCATGCCTGAGGCCTTGGCTTAGCCTCCCCAGCAGGATACATTTACCGCAGGATGTACATATATTCATATATGCGAATGAAATTATGTTCTGCCTACAAACCAAGCTAGGCGTGGTGGTGCAAGCCTGTAATCCCAGCACTCCGCTGAGGCAGGGGGATCTCTAGCACAGACTTCATGCTTAGCAAAGATAAAGTGGTACCTATAACCAGAATGTATTGTTAGTAGTGCGAATATTTGATTGACTTTTTTTTTTTGGAGCGCTGGGTACTGAGCTACATCTCCAGCTGTTTTGATTTTGAGGTCTTGCTAAGTCTAACACTGCCTGGCTGGGTTCGAACTTGCCACCCTCTCACCTGAGCCCCTGGCAGGCTAGGATTCTGAGTTACCGTGCCAGGCTCAGACCGAGCATGCACAGAGCACCGAGGAGAGCCAGGCGCGGTAATAAACAGTCTCTGGGCGGCGGTAGTGTTACATAAGAGTCTGAGTCAGAGTCACTGGGGTGTCTGAAGGGTGACTGAATTAAAAATAAACCCGTGGATCTGTCAGACGAGGAAAGCTAAAGTTTTCCCTGTGGGTTCCTGGCCCACAGAAAGAAAGGCGGTTCCGGGCAGGTGCAGAGAAAGCCAAAGGCGTGGAGGAGCATTCGCCGCTCGCCTCTGCGTGGGTGGGTGCAGCTGGGGGGCCCGCTGGCAGATGGAGAGGGGCCCGGTTCAGAGTGGCGCGAGAGTGGGAGAGATCGCTGCGCCCCATTTTTTTTTTTTACACACGCTTGTCTGCTTTATTTACTTAGACCCAGCATAATCTTTTGAACAATTATTTTCTTCATTTTTATCACATGCTACATTCCCATGCATACTAGGGTTTTATGTGGTCACTGTATTACACATTTGATTTTATATCACCCTTGTCTTTAGTTTCTTTGGCTAATACATGTTAATATTACGTTGTAACTATCTTTCCAACTTACTCTTCCTGTTTAAATATTTTAGTCTCCATTGCCTATTTAATCTTCCATCATAAAATTTTATGCATCCCAAAATATGCTTCTCAGAAAAGGAAGATAAAATCACTTTATCAGTTTCCATTGCTCTCCCTTAATAAGATGCTACTAGATTTTTTTTTTGAAATTTCATTCTATAAAACTTAATGTGAGGAAGATTGATATATTTACAAAACAACATTTTCGTGAAGGATTTGGTTTACTTCACAGTGAATAATAAGGATGATAATAATATGAGAAAAAACAAGTTCACATTCTTTTTTTGTTGTTGTTTTGTTTTTTTGTCTTTTTTGTTTTTTTATCGATACTAGGGATCGAACTCACGACTGCCTGCTTGCAAGGCAGGTGCTTATGCCACTGAGCTAAACCCCAGCCCCAAAGTTCACATTCCTCATACTGCGCCCCATTCTTATAGAGGAACGAACTGGTGTGTGCATTGCTGACCTCTTGGGAATCTCACATTCAGTTCTGCCTCCCCCACCCCAGGAAAAAAATGAACACCGAGGGCGACGTCCCCCCTTCCATGTCCGGCAGCTGCGCCGTGTGCGTGGACGGGGTGCTGTACCTGTTCGGAGGCCACCACTCGCGAGGCAACACGAACAAGGTTGGTCCTTCCGAGTGAAGCGTGCATGTCAGGGCCGCTTTGTGCTGCACCTCGGACAGTTGGATCGCTCGGTTCTCTGACCGTTGGCGAATGTCTGTAGTTTATTACGGGAGGGATATGCATTTTAGGCTTCTCTCTACCATCCGGTATTCTCCCGGGTCTTTGGTGAGATCTACTTTTGGGGGACATCCTGTGCAGCAGCCCCGAGGTCGAGCTTGTGCTCTGTCCCCCACCTTGAGCCCACCATGTTAAGTGGACACCATGAACAAACTTAGAAGGAGCGAGGGACAAGACAAAGACAAGACGTGTAAGGCTGCAGGGAAGGGTGGCGAGGAACAGAGCCGCGCCGAAAACCCTAAGGCTGAATTAACACGGGGGGGAGGAGGGGTGGAATTTCAGATAACATCCCTAGAATGTAGTAGCTTAAGACAGTTTGGATATTTTCCTTATGTTGTTCCAAACAGAAGAAAAGGCTGTCTGTTCTGTTCATCCCAGTAAGAGGTGAAGTTTCAGACAGGTACCCTCAAACTGGGAGGCTCGTGTGTGTCATTTACTATGAGGCTGCTCAGTAAGCACCTGTGGTGCTCAGGTGGCCCTGGGGGCCTGAGGGTAGTGAGCCCCCCCCCCCCCCCAGATTCTGTCTGCAAGGCCAAACGCAAATGAATGAATGCAGGGCCGAAGGAGGCAGACCAGGAGACAGAGGAGCCTTGGTGCAGTTGGGTTTGTAAGTGAGCGAATGCAGCAAGCCATGTTTACCCAGGAGGCCATGCTTGAATTAAAAACAAACCACAAGTGAAGTCGTGGTGCACAGACAGAAGCAAGCACATCTCTGTAAGGAAATGCCAGGTGGTTTTGTGGAGGGGACTCGTGGCCAGGGGCTTCAAAGTGTGCTCCCTGGGTCCCTGGGAGAAGGCATCTGGGGCGGGCGCCATGCTTGTGTTGCTGCTCCCTTTAGCAAGCACAGCTGTTTTGCCTTTATAACCAGGTTTTGCTGTTGGAAAGAAGGGCTGTAAACTTGGATTTGGCTCTAGTTGAGCCACGAATTATTCAAAGCCAAGCCGGGGAGAGGGGACTGGGCACCGGCTGAATGTGTGGGGAGATCAGCTGACTTTGGAGGGCAGCCCCAGAAACACTCTCGGGTGTTTTCAGATAGACCGAAAGGCTGCTCTATTTGGATGGGAAACATCTGAAGGACAGACAAACTTTAACCTTTGTAACAGTGATGCACCTGCAGCTCTGATAATAAGGGAGGCAGGCAGGGGAGATGTGCTTAGTTAAACTGAACCCGAGGATAGAAATGGACCTGATTTTTTTTTTTTTTTTGGTAATGCCATCTTGATAGGCAGATGTTCGGTTAACTCCAAGCGCTCGCAAGAGAAGGAGCTTGTGTTAGAAAGTAAATGAACAATGCTGATTCATTCATCATGAAAGTGTGGCTAAGAAAAAACTGAACCAACAGCGCTGTTGCCCGTGTAGGTTATTTACATTCTGTCATGAGTTCATAATCTTGACTCATACCAGGACGGAAGCCAGTCTGCGGTCACAATGTCAGCAGCACTGAATTAGACAGCACCTTGTTAGAAGTCAGGAGAACTGTATGCTAGCGACAAATTTCTCTCCCATAACCAAATCTAACCGCAGTCATTGCTTTTGTCAGTTCTACATGCTGGATTCAAGGTGCACAGACAGAGTGTTACAGTGGGAAAGAGTTGACTGCCAAGGAACCCCTCCATCATCGAAGGACAAACTGGGAGTCTGGGTGTATAAAAACAAGTGAGTTAGAAACACAAGTGCTTCCATCCACGCCAGCGTTCATTTTCCATTCATACCAAATGTCAAAAAAGAAAAACACCCGTGTCCTAGACTACAGAGGTTTGCATTTTTATTGTCTTTTCATCAAATAGGTTAATATTTTTTGGAGGATACGGATATTTACCTGAAGATAGAGCACTGGGAACTTTTGAATTTGATGAAACATCCTTCTGGGTAAGCAGGGTTTCGTATTTGCATGTGGCCTCCTCAGCGTGCCAAATAGTGCACTTCACATCCACTAATCGCTGTGCTCACTGGCTCGGACAGCAGTGATAGCATTTTACAGGCATTTCTGAGAAAATGACTCAGACTGTTACTTCTCTGTAGAATTCAAGTCACCCAAGAGGATGGAATGACCACGTACATATATTAGACACTGAAACGTTTACCTGGAGCCAGCCTCTAACTACTGTGAGTTCCTGAAGAATAAGCAAAATTACTTAGGGGAGAAAAGGGATACAGCAGAGCTGGGAGACTTTATTCATTCTCGTCTTCTGGAGAATCTCGGCTTTGTTATTCTAATGGAATCCAGGACTCATGTGTGAAGATGCTAACAGAGCATGCTGAGTGGTAGCTATTGCTTATAATTAAATAATCTAGCTTTAAATTAGAACTTGTTTAAGGGTTAGATTTCTTTTCCTGCCTCCACGTCTGGCTGTATTTTAAAAGATAAAAGTAACCATGTTATATTAATCAGCCCACTCAGTAACATCTCAAAAATATAAAATTTGCAGGTGTGACCGTCAGTTTATAGATTACTTTACTACCTGGAAGTCTGTACTCCAGCTTTGAGGAGCTCAAGTACCCGGCAGAGTCTTAATTGACTTCCAGAGGAGACTTATTTCCCTTCTGCTTGCAAACAGTTCACTTACTAATTTCCTCCATGGCTTTTTAACAGGGAAAAGCGCCGTCCCCTCGTGCTGCTCATGCTTGCGCAACTGTTGGCAGCAAAGGTTTCGTGTTTGGAGGCCGATACCGCGTGAGTAGAGCGACAGCTTCAGGGCTTGCTCTGAAGTGTTCACAATGGTAACCAGCTCACTGTGTACTTTTAGGATGCTAGAATGAATGATCTCCACCATCTCAATCTGGATACATGGGAATGGAATGAATTGTAGGTATCACCTTTTTTCTTTATAAACCGAACATGCTCTGTGTAGTCCTTAAAGACTTTTTATTTCCAGTTTCTACAAACATGTGCCTGACATAAAATGCTCAGTGTTTGGTGAGAAAGTCTGAAGTTGAGAAAACATAGCATACGCATAAGGCATGTAGCTGCCCACCTCAGGAGGCCTCGAGTCCTCTTCCTAACCTCAGACGCTCTCCACCAGCACCCTGGCACTGCACTGCTCTGCGTGACTCGGGCTGTCATTTCAGGATCCCCCAAGGCCTGTGGCCAGTCGGCCGGTCATGGCACTCACTCACACCGGTTTCTCCAGATCATCTTTTTCTCTTTGGAGGATTTACCACGGAAAAACAGCCACTGAGTGAGTCCTTTAAAATATGTATACATCACTCACATAAATGAACAAGTAGCTAAAAATAAATGAGTTGTAGATGCCTACAAGATTGGCTGGAAAATTTGGTAATTCTGACCTTATAACTTAATTGGGCTTATCATACATCCTGCCCAACAGTTTCAACAAACCACTCAAAGCATTTAAAATCCCCACTGCAGGGCTACAGTGTACGGGGGCTTTCTTGGGTAACTGCAGAGGATTAAAAAAGAAGTATCAACTGGCTTTCTACTTTCTCTTGCTAAAGTTGTATCCTTTAAGGTCAAGATCATGTTGTAAGAATGAACACTCCATAGCTTTGCTTCTTTTGTCTCAATCAGGTGATGCCTGGATTTACTGCATCAGTAAAAATGAGTGGGTACCCTTTAATCATCCCTACTCTGAAAAACCAAGGTATGATCTGCGTGTGAAAGATAATTTTTAGTGAATGGCTGAGGCCCCCTGTGCAGGAGACTGGGAAGCACGGAGAGTGTCCTAGCTGCACTGCATCCATCTTTCTTAAAAAGATGTTGGTCTTCACTAAGCTTTAACACCGTGCTGCTCAAAGAAAACCAGTACCGGCATCAGCTATATTCTTTCCATTTCCTATGGACAGATAGAGCTAGATTTGTTACCTCTTTTTTGATATCAGGGATCAAAACCAAAAAAACAAAATCAAAGGGAAATCTAGGAAAACTGTAAAATCTTAAGAATGTACGTGAAAAAAAAAATCCCAAGAACTGTTGGATTTATAGTAGCACTATATAACAAAGTTTAAGAGGTCAGATTATCCCTCCCACCAAGCCTATAAAACAGTGATAGTTATTTTTCTTGTAAACCCTGAAAATAACTGCTAACGGCAGTGATACAGTCAGCACTGGTGCTCAGAGACCATGCAGACATCAGCCTGCATTTCCCCAAGCTTCAAACTCCAGCCCGTGCCACTGAGATTTCATTTGCTGCTAAAGACCTTTCCAAAGAATTACCAGGCTCTGAGTAGTCCTAGGTTTGCTAAGGCTGGGCTTTCCGAAAGCCCCGAGCCAGCTGGCCTTGCCAGTGAAAAGAGGAAGGAGCAGGAGAGGGAGAGGCTGCATTAGACAGATTGCTAACAAAGGCTTAGAGAACAGTTCAGACCCCCTCGCTGCATACACAGGGACACCGACAGAACACAGTATTCAGAGAAACACCGATTTTTCTAGTGGAAGATTTTATTTTTCACTATGATACTCAGTCTCAACTATCTTGGGATTTCTGCTTTACCAGCTCTGCTCTGTAGTGTAAATAAATGACTGCTTTGGTTGTGAGTGACTCTAAACACAAGTTACTGTTTTGAATGTAGGCTGTGGCACACAGCTTGTGCCAGCGATGAAGGAGAAGTCATCGTCTTTGGAGGGTGCGCCAACAATCTCCTGGTCCACCACAGAGCTGTGAGTGTCATGCCTGCTTCCCTGCGTCCCCGAGATGGACTGCCCAAGTCCACTTCTAATGTGCCCTTCATCTGTCTTTCAGGCACACAGTAATGAAATACTTGTATTTTCAGTTCAGCCAAAATCTCTCGTACAGTGAGTAACTTTTCATTTGGCACTGAATTCACTTTTTTTAAACAGTAGGTTTATAGATTATTTAAGAGCAACAGTGAACCTTCACTGACATGAACGATCAGTTCTATGAAAATCTTTAAAGAGTTTTTTTGTTCAAGTTCATGTACTTGTAACAGTCAAGTGAAGTTATTTTTCTCTTTCTGTGTCCACTTCCAGGCTAAGCTTAGAAGCAGTTATTTGCTTTAAGGAGATGTTGGCCAGCTCGTGGAACTGCCTTCCAAAACACCTGCTCCACAGCGTTAACCAGAGGTTTGGCAGTAACAACACTTCTGGATCCTAAGGCTTCGTAGATAGATAACGCCTCTGATCGCCTTGCATGGACACAGCCCTGTAACCCTCAGATCATGGTCATTTGTGTAATATATGGTTGTAGTTTGCAACTATTTGGTTTTAATGTGCACGTGGATGGCCTAGAGAACCTATTTTTGTGTCTATAAAGTTTACAATAAACGTATTTCACATCAGTAACTCTTCTCTGTGAAAGGAAAAAATTAATGGTTATTATATCCTTTTTGGTAATAACTTCAGGTTATAGTTCTGTAGAAACAGTAAATCTTAACATTATCAAAATAGAAGTTTTGTTTTTTAAAAACACTAAACTTTTGTTTTCTTTAAATAGCAAGAATGGTCTTAATTATGACCTAGCATTACAAATAGAGTAAGTTTGTCTTTTTCTTAAAACATGAACTTTAAAGCTAAAACTGCGCTCCACAGGACTAAGAACCATGAAGGACCAGAAGGTATGCAGCACAGTGTAAGCTCACTGCTGTAAGTGGTGATTTCAATCAGTAAAGACCCTGGAGGAAGGGAGTAACATGTAACTGTCCTGCGGGATAGGGGGCAGAAGGAGGCCGGTCAGAAGCCTTGAGTAGTAAGCCCAGAAGTGCACTTCTGTGACAGAGCAGGCTAAGATGCTCTAAACATGCTACTGAGAACTATTGAAGATGGAAAAGAGAATGGCGTAGAACTCAGATTACAAGGGAAAAGTGAAGGATGAAGATGTGTACATGCATAGAAATGACCACTGCCAGTGTTTTCTAGGTGTTACCCTTGAGCTTATTTGTGGGAATTATTAATATTTATTTACATTTGGTGTAATATATTTTTGACGGTTTTCAAAACACAATCCTAAATGTTTAATTGCCCCCACTCCCACAACAAGGACAAAAAACCCTTGGGATTGGCCTGTTTTATATATATATATATATTAGATGCTATATACAGTAGACTACTAAATCAGTAGTTTAAGCAAATTGAATCATGTCAACTATCCAGTTTCTTTAAATCATTAAATGAATACTTAGTATTAACCTCCCAATTTCAACAAAATGTGGTATAACTACAGATTAGCAGTTAGCTTTTGACATGTACTTTAGGAAATCTATCATAGATGGTTTTCCTCTATATAAAACTGGAAAAACCAAGAATTAAGTCCTTTCGGTGAATACAGCAAGGTAATGATTCATTCATTTTCAAATGCAGAAGTCCTGTTACATGGTGTTTTCACTTTAACTTCCCACGGGCTATAAAATTGATTCTTCTCATATATTTAGGAATTCATTTCAGCTACTTCCTTTTTACATTCAGAAGGTTGGGTGCAGACACTTTCACTTTGCCAGGAATGTTTCTTGATAAATCTGTGTCCTAAAAAAAGAAAACTGCTGAGTATCTTCATGTCCTAATGATGAGCCATGTTTCTGTATAACACTTCTCCTCTGCTGTCAGGAGAAGGCAGTGCCAAAATTTTTACCCTCAATGCCTTTACTACTTTACTGCTTCTAGTAAGACAGCATTTCCCATCAAAACTACAGAACGTAACTTCTGCGGCTCTCAATCCACCCTCCAGTCCCCACTGGGGCCTGAAGGCAGACTTTACCTTTACACTGCGGAATAAATCCTTTTCTCTTGCCGTTGCTTCCTTGGAATGCATGAAACTATTCAAAGCTGTTTTTGCAGCTGTAAATTAAAAAGGGGGAGGGGGAAGAGATCTACTTCTGTTCAGTCTCTGAACTGTTTAAAATCTTTTTCTTTTTTTGAGACAAGGTCTTGCTAGGTAGCCCAGGCTGGCCTCGACTTCACAGCAATCCTCCTGCCTCAGCCTCCTGAGTGCTGGGATGATAGGCATGTGCTACCATACCCAGCTTAAAATCATAATTAAAATAAATTACATACCTTTTCCCTTTTTCTGAACTCCAGGGGTAAGTTTCACTTTATATCTTTAAAAATAAATTACATGAGTTACTAAACAGGGATTACAAAACAGTTCCTAAAAGTCACCATGACAACTGTTTAGAGTAAACTACAGGTGACTTACTTGTAGTTTGTCATGGTCGTGTAAGGTGCACATATCGGAATGGCAAACAATACTATATCTTCAGGGTGTGGACAGCCTGTCAAAGAATCAAACAGATTTTCCTACAAAGGGAAAACAAAAGTACAGAGATATTTATACCAGCCTTAAACAAGGTACGCCTGAGTGGTAGAGCACTTCTAGCATGGGTAAGACATTAGGTTCAGACCCCAGCAGCACCACCATCCCAAAAACTATAAAACTGTTTAATTATCTATCTCAACCTATTTTCTTTTCTTGTGAATGTATATACTCTCAGCACCAACAGCACTTAAAGCATGTTTAACTATTTTTGAGAACTTAAATTTTTGCCTATCACAATATTGAGAAAAATAATTTCCAAACCACCACATATTTTTAGAGAAAGGGAGAGTCAATATTATTACCACAGCTGCAGAAAATACTCAGAGGATGCACCTCAGTGGCTATAAAGACATTTCAGTCAGCTGCATGGAAATGGAACTTACACTTTGCCTAGACCAGTGATTCCTGGCCAGGGATTCTGCTCCCTGCCCCAAGAACACTGTACAATGTATGGAGACAGCTGTGCTTTTCATGTGGGGAGGAGGAGATAAGGAATCGGGAGATACTGCTGGCATCCAGTGGGTGCGGCTGGGGATGCTGCTGAAGGCTTGAAATGAGACTGACTGACCTGGAGGAGAAGTTATCCACTGCGTAATGTGAACAGTGCCAAGTGAGAGCCCTGGCTGGTGGAGTCCTCTCTCTCACTTCTTAACCACATAAAGAGTCCACCCAAGCACCACCTGGGCAGTGCCTTTGTTTATGCACTGACTGTCTCGAGCACGGCTCAGGCAGGTACATTTCAATCAGTCGATTCTTCCATTGAATAAATTGATAAAGCTGTCATTTTTACAATTCCTATTATCTTTAAAAAATTAATGAAAAAACATGCAACTTTTGGTGGTTCTGTATTTAAATAATTGGACTATTAAGTAGTTGAGAAGCCCAGAGCCTATGGCTTCTCACTTGGTTTGCCGCTTACAAATTGTTCATACGTTTAAAACGATATAAGTAAAGAAAAAGAAAAAAAGAGAAAAAGCTCAGCGGCATAAGCACCTGCCTTGCAAGCAGATGGTTGTGAGTTTGATCCCCGGTACCAGTGAAAAGAAAAAAGAAAAAAAATAAATAAAAATAAAACGATATGAATAAACCCAAAATTAGGATAAAATATGTAGTAATGAACTACAGTACTTGAGTGTTTGCCATATGCATAAACTTCTCTAAAGATGTATCAGTTCAAAACAACTCTCCTGCTTGACAGTTATCATCCCCATAACAATGAGGCACAAAGAATGTTTCCGAGTTTACACAGCTGTGTCTTGCAGAGTGGGGATGGAAAGCCTGACTTCAGGTGCTACAGTCTTAAGGAGGCAGTAGTTGTGTCCAGTGTCCCAGGAAAGGACTGCAATGAGCCCCTGTAACATCTACACAGGTCATACCTCATTTCCCTGTTGGTCCAGATCTTGTTCTTCCTGTTCCAAACATAAAAATGGATAAGTCAGCTATGAAATTCCACACCAGTAGGGCCAGGAATACAGCTCCATGGCACAGCACCTGCCTGGCAAGCGCAAGGTCCTGAGTTTGATTCCCATACCCCCCCCCCCCCCCGAAAAAAAACAAAGACATTCCACACCAGTAAACAGTGAGCAGACAAATGGGATGGATACAAGCTGCTACATTCAACCTATAGGTCCAGTGCCCCAACACCCTGAAGGGGATTCGGTGTTTTGTATGTGTTTACTGTGTTAGAAAGCAGCGCAGTCAGAAACAAAACAGCTCTCTAAAGCCGAGAAGGAGGGCATTTCACATCAAGTATATGGCAAAACAACAGAAGCTGCTAAGACAACTTAAAATAACTGATCTTGATTATGTTTACCAGGAAAAGGCAATGGAAAATTCCAGTGAGAACTTCTTCCTTTTTAATATATTTTCAAGCATTAGAATAAACTTCTCAAATACTAAGATACACAGTGTTGTGAATGTATATAAGAAAAATTTATAGCGTTACTGCCTTAGTCTATTCAGGCTGCTATAAGAAAATAACTTAGACTGCATATCTTAGAAACTGGGCCGGAAGGGCTGGAGCTCAGCGGCCTAAGAGCCTGCCTTGCAAGCAGGCAGTCGTGAGTTTGATCCCTCGTACTGATAAAGAGGAAAAAGACAAAAAAAAAAAAAGAAAGAAACTGGGCCGGGGATTTAGCTTAGTGACTCAAGCACTTGCCTGGTTAAGCACAAGGTCGTGAATTCGATCCCCGATACCAAATAAACAGACAACAGGAATGCCCTTCTCACAGTTCTCCAGGCTGAAGTTCCCAGGTCAGGACACCAGCAGACCCACTGTCTGGGGAGCTGTGCCTTGAAGGGGTGCTTTGCTGCTGGCTCACCAGGAGAATGGGCGCTCTACTCCCTTCAGCCTCTTTTATGAGGTTTAATCCTGTTCCTATCACTTTGGGTACTTAGGGTCTAACCCAGGATTTTCAATGGGGAATATAAACACTCAGACCATCATACCAGGCCATGAAAGAACACTAATAACATCTCTCATGAATATTTTTGAGTATAGGATTGGCGGAATAAATTACAAATTATGCTAATCTGAAGCCAAAATAAATTGTAGGATAAAAGCAGTAATACTGTTCAACATGAAGCCCTGAATTGGCTTTCTGGTATCAGAAAACAAAACAAAACAAAACAAAAAAAAACCAACCAACCAATAAACAAAACACTATTCAATAGGGAAGAAATGTAATACAAAATCCCTGTAAGCATCACGTATACTAAACTAAGCACAGAATTATAACTCAGGCTTTAAATACAGAAAAACAATGCTGATCCTGAAAGTAAAACTTTTGTATTTTATACAAAATTATAAAACCTTAATGCTCAATTTCAAAATGTAGATATTCATGCAAGAAGAAGCACTTAAGCCTGGGCTTCTTGTACTCACATAAAACCAAAAGGGAAACATCTTTGTAGGAAATGCACAATTGTCTCTTCTCACTACTTTTGCAACTCAGGACTTGGCCTTTAAACTCTGACTGCTTTCAACATTAATAAGAGAGTGCAACAACATACAATCCTATTGAAAATTCATCTT